ATTTTCTTGCTTCCCTGATGCTCTGTCTTAGGCGAAGTGGTGGTCAAGTGGTTTGAGGCTGTCCAGACCGGTCTGCCCATGTGCATTCTGGGAGCGCTCTTTGGTCCTTTACGTTTAAATACCCGGTAAGTCGAGGATTTTATAAATGCAAACTTGCTGGCCGGCATACCTTCCAATTGAAATCACGATGCATGCAACAACTGGGAGCTTGGGTGAAACTTTTATCCTTGACTGATTGATTGATTGATTTGCTAATTACACCTTCAAAATTATTGCCTTGCCCTTTTCAAGGTGATGGCAGCTGTCGTAACTTCTAATTGTTGGTTTTGGCTTAATCTTTAAAAAAAAAAAAAAATCCGAGAGCATTATAGGTTGCACAAAAGACGGGATTTTGCAAAAGTCTTACAAAGATCTTGTTTGTGTGTCAAAAAGCATCCCGGATAAAGCATGTCCCAAACCTATTAGGAAGTTTGGCCTCTTTGCCTTGAAATTTTCTCTTGGCGTTTCTGCAGCTGTACGTTTCGTGCAAAAAAGCGTGAGCGTTAATCAGGCACTGCTTTGTAGCCAGGTTAAAACCCATTTGCAAAGATCGTAGCAGCTACGAAACCCATGGAAAAAGTCAGTTAAATGGAAGGAAATAATATGGTTTGAGCAGTTTGTCTGATGTTTAAACTATCCTGCCTTAAAAACAATCTGGGGAAATAGACACTAGAGAAATGCAACCTTCTTCTGATGCCTAAATTTTAATACAGGACTGGGTTAAAACTGCTAGGATTAAATTGGATTAAACAGGTCACCACCTGTGAAGAAGATTTGATATAGGTCAGCTGTCCAGGAGCGAAGACCTTTGAGTCTAAAAAACGTAGCGGTTGTAATCTTTCTACTTTCTCGTTTTCTTTTTTTTTTTAAAAAAATAAAGTAAATAAATAATTTCCTCCCCCCCCCATTTTTTATTTCCCTTCCTTTCCCCAGTAAGTGGCAGCTTTTGACTGCGGAGCTTATCCCGTGGGCCGTTCAGAGCGGACGAAACGCCAGCTGCATCTTGAATTTTTATTATGAGAAGCGTTGGGAGCAATCGGTGGAGTCTCTTCGCCGTGAAATCGGCATTTTCCCACCTCCTGGGATCCATTTTTGAGCTTCCGTGGATGAAACAGGAGGAACACCTGATGGAGACCATTCCTTTTCAGGAAGCCACGGAATTAAATTCTGGATATTAAATCGTCTGGCCAAGCCTAGGGTGTCTTGGGGCCCCACCTTCCTTCACCAGTGGACGTCCCCAACTTTTTCTTCGGCCTGCACTGTTAAAAGAATGTTTAAAAGAGGAGAAAAAACAGAAACATCACCACAAAATCCAGAAATACGGAAGCTTCGACATAAATGGAGAAAATATTGACAGTCCCAAGGCAGGAAAGACTGAAGGACGAAAATGGCTACCACAATTAGATCTCGGCTCCTAAGATACGTAGAGTTGTCGTTTTATGGCGGCGTTTTCACAAGTCAAACTGGAGTAATGCCTTAGCGCTTTCGTTCTCACAAACACCCTTTGTGGGTTTGGATCGGAGAATCCCTCAACTTGGCCTAGGATGCTCTTCCAAGCCTCGCCTGAATCTTTTCCAAAATATTTTCATCCTTTCCTGTTGCTCAAACTCAAGATGATTTTTTTGGGATGCCCAGCCTAGGAAAGGACAATAGACATCTCATTTCTGCCTTGAGTTGTTTACAAGAATTCCCCTCTATAAAGCAGATCGAATGCCAGTGATAAGTTGGAATGCACAACCACAAATATTCGCCAACCACTTGTGTTCTAGGGCAGGTACAAATATGCAGAACGAAGTTCTGTTTATAGTCTCAATAGGGTGGTGATATTTTGCAGATTTTTATCTTCCGTTCCAAGGCTTCTGGTTCCTTAAAATATCCCAAACTTTCTTCTTAAATATCTTTATAACGTGGTTTCTCATCCCAGTTTTTCAATAAAATTTGCAGCTCTCGGTTCTGCTTCCTTTGGAAAGAGAGTCACAGATTTCTCTGTTTGCAAACTAAGGTTCATTATACAATGCATGGTTCACACAATGTGCTTAAAGCCAAAAAGGTGGCTTGTTTGTTGTGAATCGAACCACTGGTGCTGGTTCAACAAACTGAGGCTTAATAAATATCAGGCTAATCTCTGCGAAAACAGTTTCGTTATGAACTATCTTGTTATCCATGGCTGTTTCTGGGAAGCCTTTTTTTATGGACACTAAAGATGGTCTAATTCAAACACAGTTGCTCAAACACAGGTTCAAAGCCAGCCACCATAGCTTGGAATTCCTTGCTGTACGATTTAATAACGCATCTTTTAAAAAAAGAAACAGGTAGCAGTTCCAGGGTTTCGAGAACCAAAAAGAAATTAAGGGATCTCGGAGTCCTAGTGGACCATCACTTAGATATGAGCCAGCCGTGTGCTGCAGCTGCCAAAAAAGCCAACACAGTGCTAGGCTGCATTAACAGAGGGATGGAATCAAGATCATGTGAAGTGTTAATACCACTTTACAAGGCCTTGGTAAGGCCACACTTGGAATCCTGCATCCAGTTTTGGTCACCACGATGTAAAAAAGATGTTGAGACTCTAGAAAGAGTCCAGAGAAGAGCAACAGAGATGATTAGGGGACCGGAGGCTAAAACATATAAGGAACGGTTGCTGGAATTGGGTATGTCTAGTTTAAAAAAGAGAAGGACGAGGGATGGAATGATAGCAGTGCTCCAATATCTCAGGGGATGCCCCAAAGAAGAGGGAGTCAAGCTATTCTCCAAGGCGCCTGAAGAACGCAGGACAAGAAGCGACGGATGGGAACTAATCAAGGAGAGAAGCAATCTAGAAACAAGGAGAAACAATTAACCAGTGGAACAACCTGCCTCCAGAAGCGGTGAATGCTCCAACACTGGAAGTTTTTAAGAAGAGACTGGACAGCCATTTGTCTGAAATGGTGTAGGGTTTCCTGCCTGAGCAGGGGGTTGGACTAGAAGACCTCCAAGGTCCCTTCCAACTTTACTACTACTGCTGCTGCTGCTGCTACTACTACTACTACTACTATTATTATTAAAATTGGGGAAAGCAAGATTTGAAAGTTTAAAACTTGTTTCAATTATTTGGCTTGTTCTGAAGCCGGCCAGCGTGCGGGATAAGCATCTTGATGCCTTCTTGTTCATCATGCCAGCTGCCACGCAAGTTGGCTGCTCTCCCCCACCCCCCAATAAATCTGGATACAGCTGGAAGGGACCTTGGAGGTCGTCTAGTCCAGCCCCCTGTTCAATGCCCGTCCTTCTGATTTTCTCTTTTTTTCTCTCTTCTTCGGGGGTATTCTCCCCTCCTTATCCGACATCCTAAACCCACCCGTGTCTCTCCCCCCCCCTCGCTTGGGGGTCCCTGCTCGCATCGTGGACGCGAAGGCTTTTTTGCGCTCGCGTTGGCGCTTCCAGCCGTGCGCCCGCGTGCGCCTCGCTGGCGCACAGCAACCCTCCACACCTTTCCTTGCTTTCTTGGGTCGGGGGGAGCAGCGCAGCGGAGGAATAGCACAGCCCAGTATAGAATGACAAGAGCTGGAAGGGACCTTGGAGGTCTTCTAGTCCAGCCCCCTGCTCAAGCAGGAGACCCCATAACATTTCAGACAAATAGTTGTCCAAAGGGAGGAAGGGGAACGAAGCAAAGAAGAGGGGGGCAGAAGGGGGGGGCAGAAGGACCTCTTCCCCCCCCTCTCTTTCTCCCGTGAGAAAGCGTGCAACCCGCCAAAGGAAACTTTTCCAAAAGTTTATCTTTTTTTTTTCTTTCTCTTCTTTTCCCTTCCTGCCGTAACTTTCCAAAAAGCGACGATTCGTTTCCTCGCTTATTTAAACTGCAAAAATAAAACACCCCCCCCCAAAAAAAACAAAAAAAACCACGCGACTCTGGTGGGACTCGAACCCACAACCTTTGAATGACTCCGTCCCGTCATATAGATCTAGAAGTCCAATGCGCTATCCATTGCGCCACAGAGCCCCACGCGCTCTTGCAGCGCAGCCTGCGCGCTCTCTGCTCCGGATTCCTCTCCCCACAAGCGGCGGCCCATAAGCCCCGGCCGAGCTGTTTCTCCCCCCCCCCCTTCTCTTTGCATTGGCCACGCGTGGAGGAGAGGAACCCGGAGCTGCCTCCGTGGGGAGCGATGGGGTCCACAGAGCAGCGCGGGCCAGCCGGCCCCCCCCTTCCCCTTTGCAGAAGGAGAGGCCCCCTCCCCGCCTTCCCTTCCCTTGCTTTCGCGTGCACGCTTTGTGCGTCGTATGCACGGGGGTTACGCGGGTGCAAAGCCGTGGGCCGGGGTCTTTGGAGTGTTCCCCCCCCTGTGCAATTCTGGATCGCCGAACCCAAAGACCCCCGCCCTCCCTTCCATTGCTTTCGCCTGCAACTTTGTGCATCGTGTGCACGGGGGTTGCACGGGTGTAAAAGGGGGGGGGTCGCGTCGTTTCTTGGCCCGGGGGGCTCTCCCTGCAAATCGCCCCGGGGTCCCCGGACGATCCAGAATTGCACGGAAGGGGGGGGAAAGAAAAATCCAAAGACCCCCCCCCGCCCGCCCTCCCTCCCTTGCACGCTTTGTGCGTCGTGTGCACGGGGGTTGCACGGGTGTAAAAGGGAGCAAGGGGGGGGGTCAATTCGTTTCTTGGCCCCGGGGTCCCCGGACGATCCAGAATTGCACGGGGGGGGGGGAAGAAAAATCCAAAGACCCCCCCGCCCTCCCTCCCTCCCCTTGCTTCCGCCTGCACGCTTTGTGCGTCGTGTGCACGGGGGTTGCACGGGTGCCTCCTCCCCCTTTGGAGTGTTTCCCCCCCCCTCCGTGCAATTCTGGATCGCCCCGCTTTATACAGCCCCTTCCCCCTCCCGCGGCTGGGAAGGCGGGCGGAACTCCAACTCCCGCCGTGCCTTGCGGGAGGAGGGTCGAGGGCGCCCCCTGGAGGGTCCTCTGGGCGCTGCAGAGCCGGAGCAGCGTCTAAAGCTAGCATCACTTCGGAGGCTGCTTCGGAATTCCGCCTCCTCCCGCCGGCGCCGCTGCCCTTCGCATGGGGGAAGGCAGGGCCAGGCAGGTGCAAGCCGGGACGGGAAGGAAAGGCCGGTGGCTCAGCAGATTTGGAGGAGGAGGAGGAGGAGGAGGAGGAAGAAAAAGAGCCCGATCCTTGCGCTTGGGGACTGCCTCGCAGGGGCTGGATTGGAGCAAGCAGCGCCTTCGCCTCCAAAGGGATGCGGGCAGTCTGGCCGCAGGTGGGTGGCGGGGCGGGGCGCGCCCAGGGGGTCCCCCGCTGCGAGGAGGGGGCGGCTGGCGGTGGGGGAACAAAAGGGGGTGACCCCCCCTTCCAGGCCTCTCCCCCCCCCACCCGTGCCATCCATCCTTTCTCCCTTCTGCTTCCTTTCAATTAAATGGGGAGGGGGGAGCTGAAGAGGAGAGGACCCCCCCACACACACACACCCTCCTTGAGATGGGGGGGGGTGGATCAGGTGGTCCTGGATCAACCAGCCTTCCAGGCTGGTTCTTTGCCTCAAAGGAACCAAGACTGGCCCTTCCTGGGTGGAGATGGAGGGACCACACTCCCCATTAGTCCCCCCTCCAATGTGGGCTGCGGAGGGGGGGGTAGCCCAGACCCAGCAGGGGGGGGGACAAATGAACAATGCACCCCCCTCCCTTCCCAGGCATTGCAGCAAAATCCTTGCCCATCCAGAAGTATCCCCCGCCACTGGGATGACTAGGGGGTCTCCCAAACAGAAGGGGTACCCATGGTGCATATGAGGCTGTTGCCCCCCCCTCCCGTGCCTGTTTGCATACCAATGCAATAGGCAAGAGTGTATTTGTGGGTCTGTGTGTGTGTCGATCATGCTCTGCCAAAGCTCCGTGTGCTGATCTGTAGAGTATTGGGAAAAAGAAGGCGAAGGGGACAAATAGTAGGAGAAAACGGGGTCCTTTCCTGATGTATTTCAAATTATCTTTAAGCCCCGGCGCATCAATTGTGATGAGACAGCTGGAAGAGGCTACGAGGCTCCTCTCCACCCCTGCAGTAAAAAAAAAAAAAAGCAGGGTGAGATTGCAAAATAAGACTAGCCTGGACTACAAAGCCCATCGCCTTCCAGCCAGTCTGCGTCCGAGCACCAGGATAATGTTAAAACAAAAACTGTTTAATGCAAAAGCTAAAGCATATATATATATATATAGGCTCGTGGTTATAAAATATTTGCGCTGATTTAGTCAGCTTCGGGGGCCTTACTTAGAACATAGAATAACAGGGTTGGAAGGGACCCCTGGAGGTCATCTAGTCTAACCCCCCAATACATGGCTGTCCAGTTTCTTCTTGAAAACCTCCAGTGACTTAAAATGGGCATTTCCATTCCCCCCCCCACACACACACAGACATAAACAAGGATTTCTTTAAACAAATAACAATTGGCACAGAGCAAGGAGTGGGAAGCTCTGAGCCAATCCGTTTCATTAGTTCAAATCACGTTTTGCAAGTTTTCTAAGCGATTGAGATCAAAGCCACCTCTTCGTGCTTCTGATTTCTTCCTGTGGGAAGCTGAAACTTTCTTTCGGCTTTTTTGCAAGGTCTCAGAGAGGAATTTAGCTGGGTTTTCTTCCACCTTTGACGACAAGCAAAATGGTAATAAGTCAGAAGCCTCTTGAGGTTCCAGAAGGTTTCGGGGTGAATCCGTGGATAAGTCAAAATGATTTTGGGGATCAGGCGAAGGCTAAAACTTTTGGATTCCATCTGAACCTTGATAAAACTGGACTCTGCCTGGTGGAGTTTCAAAAGCCTGTTTGTGTGATGAATTTAAGGCCCGTTGTGTACGGAGGGGGGGGTAAGAGGCAAGTTGAGTGAACTCTGAAAACTTCAGTTCCGCTAAAGGGGTTAGGAAGTTGTGTGAACCGCAGCTGAAGGCAGAACGGTGATCCATGCCGGTTGCCATTGGTAAAAGAGAATGCATTATTTTTTAATTATTTTTTAAAATTATTTTTTATTTTTCCAAACTCTCCCCCATGCATATACCGTGATATTTATCAGATGCTAACATACATTCTTTTAACATTCATATATAAGATACTTTTAATAAAATGAAATAAATACACACATACTCGCCCATTTCCCCTTTCGCTGTATCCACACTTCTTCTTCTCTACCTTCTTTCTCCCTTTCTTCTCTTCCCTACTTCCCTCTTCTTCCTCTCCTCTTCTCTTCCCTTCACCACTCTCCTCTCCTTTCTCCCCACTTCTCCTCTTCTCCTCCAACCTTCCTACTTCCTTCTCCCCTCCTTTACTCTTTTCTCTCTCCTCTCCTTTCTTCCCTCAAAGAGAATGCATTATTAAGGACAACAACGCGACAACTTTTAAAAGGGGAGATCTGCAAACCTGGCGGAATTTAGAGTGAGAAAACCCAGCTTTATTGCCGCAGTTGTAGGCCTGAAGATGGAAGAAGGGGCAAATGGGAGAGGAGGAGAAATGTTTTTAAAATTAGTTTCCAGCAAGGAAGATTCACCTGGATGCCCTTAGCTCCATGGGAGAAACAAGGTGTTTTTGTGCCATCGGCAGAGGCGAGGCCGGCAAGGTGTATAGAGGGCATAATTTTCTGCTTAGCCAAGTATGAAGCTTTAGAGACGGCCCACGGGGGTACGATTGCCCAAGAGTGAAACAGCCCAGAAGGCTGAGCATCTAATCTGCAGAGGGAGGGCCTGGCCGGTGTCGAAAGCAACCCTGGGAAAGAGAGAGAGAGAAAAGGATTTCAGCTGGAAATGAGACGCCTGTTTAGCATATGCAGAGGAATAGGAAAGATCTGGTCTCTTGAGCAAATTCCAGAAGGTAGCAGCAGGGATGAGGACCGTGGCGACTGATTAGGTCCTGAGGTGGCCTCCCAAAAGAAGTTCTGGCCACCAGCAAAGCTGAGACACCAGCCCCAGGCAAGCAGGTGAGAAGGAGAGAGTTCAAAGCTCCCTAAAGATGATGGAAACCACAAAGAGGGTAGATATTAGAGGAAAAATGACGGTCTGGGATGAGGAAAACTATGTGAATGTCCTTCTGTCTGGGAGAGGGGTGGGGGTCCTTTATGACCACCTTTCTTGAGTTTGGATTCTCCCAGAGGTGCTTTTTTTTCCCCAAAAAAGGCAACTGGACTCGTTTTTTTCCTTGAAGACATTTCACTTCTCCTCCAAGAAGCTTCTTCAGTTCTTCAGAAGGCAACTGGACTTGAAGATGTTTCGCTTCTCATCCATTTAAGCTTCTTCAGTTCTGATGAGAAGCGAAAGGTCTTCAAGGAAGAACAGAGTCCAGTTGCCTTTTGGGGGGGGGGAAGCACCTTTGGGTCAACTATGACCTGGATGAATTGAACCTCTGTGGACATCCAGTTTGGGTTGGCCCTGGCAGAGAAGGCATTTTTCCAAACCTTGGACTTAGAACTTTTACGTCCGTGAAGCCAAGCAGATCAGAACGTCCTTTGGGATAAAAGAGAAGAAACTTTTAATTTCTCTTGATGCCAGCAGACCGGCTGAAATCCGTAATCTCTTTGGTGGTTTGCAAATCCTTCTGCCCCATCCTTCCAAGATGCCCTGGGCAGCCAGTGATGTAATTAATTTTTATTTTTAAGGAGGGCGATGCAATTCTAGCTGGGTGTCTTCCTACCTTTGTTATCCTGGACTTCCCTGGGTGCTTCTGGGTCCTGTCTGTGCACCGAATGAGACGAGGAAGGGTCCAGAAACATTAAGAAATGTTGAGGACCTAGAAGGCTGGATTGCAAAGCCTAGGGCGGTTTTATCCAAAAAGATAGATTTCCAGGGCAAATTGCTACGGATATGGCTTTTCCATCAGCATCTCAAGAACTAGGATGCTCCGTTGGTTTCTAGCACGACTTCGCCTTTTCTTAAAAACGTTTTCATCCTGTAGGGAACTTTTAGAATTAGAATTAGACTTCTTTATTTGACTCCCCTGTAAGGCATGCGATGTAGAAGCTTGGACGAGGTGTAATATATTTTTTTCCCCAGCTTCAGGTTAAACTCTGCATTTTTCCTGCTTTACCTTTGGGAATTAAAACCTGCTCGCCTGCCCTTTTGGCAAAGACTCCTTAATTGAAAATTTCCGTTTTAGGGACAGAAAGTTGGATTCCCGCAGCATTTGATTTGATTTACACTGAAGCGAACGGCAAATAAATGCCGCGAAACGTTTTTTTACTCCGGTCTTAACAGTTTTAATTAAAGTCTTTCATTTGTTGTCGAGTTTCTTCTGCATTCTGCGCCTTTAAAAATTCCCTTGCCATGTGCTGGTCTGGAGCCCCAGTAACTTCTGCCTTGCTAGGTTTGATGTTTCAGCTTGGAAAAGTATATTTCATTTAAAATAAGAGTATTTTGACCTTGGCTAAGTAAATAATTCACATGCACACGTGTAAATATCTGCCAAAAATCGAAGCAAACTCAGCTTGGGAGCAAAGGTTACCAGTGCTATCTTCTGATAGCTGGAAATCAAATCAATCTTTATTACGGTCATAACCAGCATAAAGACGGGAGATCAACTTGGCGATTTCAGAGATGCCCAATCAAGAAAAACCCAAGAGGGATCCTATCTTGCAGAGGATCTACCCTCTTCAAAGAAGGCGGGTGTTGTAATTATAATTACAGTATTATAATTCTTATAATAGCAGTATAATTGTGCCCTGGACTGCCTTTGGACTTTTGACTTAAATCTGCGGACCTTTTTTTTTTTTTTTTTTTTTGGTCTTTTTAATCAGGTGGCGATCCGAATAGCATTCCCTCCATTTGGAGAAAGGGAAGAGAAGAAAGAAGGGAAGGAAAAAGTTGACTAGTTGGAGGAACGGAAGGATTAACCAAGACCGGGAGCCTGCATTTTTCACAGTACGTTGGGTCCCATTTGATATATTTAGAAGAGAACAGAGCTGGAAGGGACCCTGGAGGTCTTCTAGTCCAGCCCCCTGCTCAAGCAGGAGAACCTATACCATCTCAAGACAGGTGACTGTCCAGCCTCTTCTTAAAAACCTCCAGTGATCAATCAATTGGAATAGAGCTGGAAGGGACCCTGGAGGTCTTCTAGTCCAGCCCCCTGCTCAAGCAGGAGAACCTATACCATCTCAAGACAGGTGACTGTCTAGCCTCTTCTTACAAATCTCCAGTGAGGGAGCGCCCACGATTTCTGGAGGCAGGCTGTTCCACTGGTTAATTTTTTTCAAAATTAATTTAAGGAACGATTCGGCCAAGAGAGATGGATTCATCCAGATTAAGAAATATGTTCTTTTTCTGTTTTTCTTTTCTTTCCTTTTCTTTCAGGCCAATATGATGCGTTGGGTGGTCCTCCTATCCATGTCCGTCATTTTCCGGCTGTTTTTTGACCTGCCCTGGATTCAAGTGGTGCCAGCCCTTTTCATATTCTATTTGGGCTCCGGTGGATGGCAGTTCCTCCGGATCTTCGTGAAGACGATCAAGCGGGACGCTACGTAAGTCTGCGGCGTTTCTTCCATCCCCTTCCCTTTGGTCTGCAGGCGGTCCTCGGCTTAACGACGGCAATTGAGCTCAAGACATTTTTCTGTTGCTCTCGTTGAATTTCGCCCCGTTTTATGACCTCTCCCGGCCACAGTTGTTAAGCGAATCGCTGCATCGGGTCGCGCGGTTGTTAAATGAATCTGCCTCTGGCTTTCTCCCCACGGATTTTGCTTGTCGGAAAAAAGGGACCGCGTGACCCCGGGGACGCTGCAGCCGTCATAAATAGGAGCCAAGTCGCAAAAGGGGCTCACATGACCCTGGGACACCGCATCCGTCATAAATACGAGTCAGTTGGCAAACGGCTGGAGTTTGATCACGTGACCACGGGGGAGGCTGCAATGGTCGTAAGTGTGGAAAACGGCCATTGGTCCCTTCCCTGGCATTCTCTCTGCGCCATAAAATAAGCCTATTCGATAACCAGGTGAAAGCAAAAATTGACCTCTATTAGAAAATAGGTACATAATCATCATCATCATCATCATCATCATCTTCCATCATCTTCCACCTTCATCTTATATTATTATTATTATTCATTCGGTTCACGTCTAATGAATAATAATAATAATAAGATGATGATGGAAGATGATGGATGATGATGGAGAAGGAGGAGGAGGAGAAGAAGAAGGAAGAAGGAAGGAGGAAGGAGAAGGAAGAAGGAGGAGGAGGAGAGGAAGAAGGAAGTAGGAGGAGGAGGAAGAGGAGAAGAGGAAGAAGGAAGGAGGAGGAGGAGGAGGAGGAGAAGAAGAAGGAAGAAGAAAATAAAAGGAGGAGGAGGAAGAAGAGAAGGAAGAGGAGGAGGAGAAGAAGGAAGAAGAAAAGAAAAGAAGTAGAGGAGGAGGAGGAGGAGGAGAAGGAAGAGGAGGAGGAGAAGGAAGAAGAAGAAAAGAAAAGGAGAGGAGAAGAAGAGGAGGAGAAGGAGGAGGAAAAAGAGAAGAAGGAGAAGGAGGAAGAGAAGGAAAAGGAGGAGAAGAAAAGAAGGAGAAGAAGAAGTAGTAGTAGTAGTAGTAATAGTAGTAGTCGTCGTCGTCGTCCAGGGATTATTTTGTTTATCCATGAACTCTCCCTCTCTAAAGTGACTCTCACATTTTGGGAGGAAAAAAAAATATGCAAAGTAAGAAAGGCATTAAGAGAAGGAAGGAGAAAAAAAGAAACCAGAAGGCAGTGCCAGGAAATGCCGGCAGATTACATCAGCCGTGCGTGGGCTGGCTGTGCATCACACGCCTTCGCAGAGATAGGAATGTCTTAATCGGTTTGGCAAAGGACGTCAAAAAAGGGGGTCACTCTGATCTCATGAGGCAGGGAGTTCCGCAGGCTGGCAGCCACGAACAAAACCCTTTCTTCTGTCTGAAGCGCAACTTGAGTTTTGGGACTGAAGGCTGGTGCCGAAAGAGCCAATGGTTGGATCCTCTTTTTGCTAAACACTTCAAAAACGTGGCTCGCGCGAGGCAGCTGTTGAATTTTCCCAGAAGCCCCGTTTTGTGTCACGCTGACCCTTCCAGGCATAAAGCCCCCCCCCCCTCCCCGGCCACCTTTCTTTGCAAACGTGCCGGATTTCCACCACGGCCCTCTTAAGCCAATGCTAATCCGTCGGATCTTTCTGGCTCAACTAGTTTTTCCAGCAAATAAAAAAAAAAATTAAGCGAGCCGAGAATTTGCAACCCTGCAGAGGTTGAACCTGGGAACCGGCAGACGCCACAAAAGGCATGCTGACTCTTGTCAGATGGACGCCAGGGGAAGCCGACAACCGCCATCAAATTATTGCAGGGCGGGCAGAGTTGTGTAAGACGTTTTTAAGTTCATCAGCAACCGATTGTTGCATTTGTCGCAGCTCCTCCGTGGAAGCTGTTCCACCTGCTTTTGACATGGAACTGGAGGTGCGGGTTTGTGCGTGCGTGTGTGTGCGTGTGTGTGTGTGTGTGTGTGTGTGTGTGGTTGTGCAGCACACTGCACAGTTGCTAATCTGTGGTTGGATGTCCACATTTGGGGCGCCAACCCGGAAGGAGGTTGATGATGAGTGATTTCCTCTGCAGAGTTCCCAGCGTCTGGGGACAATCTTCTCCAGAGTCAACAATAAAGGGTCTAAATGCTGAGGTGGGGGGCTCCAGTGTTGGAGCATTCACCGCTTCTGGAGGCAGGTTGTTCCACAGGTTAATTGTTCTCACTGTCAGGAAGTTTCTCCTTAGTTCTAGGTTGCTTCTCTCCTTGGTTAGTTTCCATCTGTTGCTTCTTGTCCTGCCTTCGGGTGCTTTGGAGAATAGCTTGACTCCTTCTTCTTTGTGGCAACCCCTGATAAATTGGAAGACTGCTATCATGCCCCCCCCCCCCGGTCCTTCTCTTCATTAAACTAGACATACCCAATTCTAGCAACTGTTCTTGGTATTTTTTAGCCTCCAGTCCCCTGATCATCTTTGTTGCTCTTCTCTGCACTCTTTCCAGAGTCTCGACATCTTTTTTACATCGTGGTGACCAAAACTGGATGCAGGATTCCAAGTGTGGCCTCACCAAGGCCTTGTAGAGTGGTATTAACACTTCACCTGGTCTTGATTCTATCACAATCAAGACAAGAGAAGAGAAAATCTGAGTTCAGCCTAGAGTGGTATAACTTGAGACAGTGTCTCAGACACATCTCTCCCATGTTCTTGTGAAGATGTTGAATAGAATAGAGCTGGAAGGGGACCTTGGAGGTCTTCTAGTCCAGCCCCCTGCTCAAGCAGGAGGACCTATACCGTCTCGGACAGGTGATTGTCCAGTCTCTTTTTAAAAACGTCCAGCGATGGGATAATGGTAGGGGAGAAAGTCTTGAGACTCACAAGATTCCCTTAGTATAGTTGTATCATAAAAGTTGTAGTAGCATGCTGGCCTTTGGTTTCCACCTTGAGTCTTCCACCTTGACGCTTTTCCCCAAAGGCGTTTTTTCCCAGGGCAACTGGACTTCCCTCGATTTTCCTTGAAGACCTTTCGCTTCTCATCCAAGAAGCATCTTCAGTTCTTTCAGAAGGCAACTGGACTCTGTTCTTCTTTGAAGATGTTTTGCTTCTCGTCCATTTAAGCGTCCTCAGTTCTGATGCGAAGCGAAACGTCTTCGAGGAAGAACAAAATCCAGTTGGCCTTCTGAAGAACCGAAGAAGCTTCTGGGAGGAGAGGGGCAACGTCCTCGGAGAAAAACAACGAAGTCCAGTTGCCTCTTTGAGAAAAAAAAAACACCTCTGGGACAACCAAGGCCTGGAGGACCGAGAACTTCCACCGTCTTTTATCGTGACGCTTCTGCCCGTTGTCCTGTCCTTGTTAGGACCGCCAGGGCCGTCCTGTCGACCCGCTTGAAGATCTGGTGGTACGTGAAACGGCGGACCACCATCCCCGCGCTCTTCCAGCAGACGGTCCAGAGACACCCGGAGAAGGTGGCCCTCGTCTTCCAAGGCACAGGAGAAAAATGGACCTTCCGCCAGCTGGATGACTACTCCAACCAGGTGGCCAATTTCTTCTACGAGCAGGGCTTCCGCTCAGGCGATGCCGTGGCCCTCTTCATGGAGTCCTGCAACCAGTATGTCGGCCTCTGGCTCGGGCTGGCCAAGATTGGGGTGGAGACAGCTCTCCTGAACTCCAACGTGCGGCAGGAATCCTTGGTCCACTGCATCCAGATCTCCCACGCAAAGGCCATCGTGTTTGGAGGCGAGCTGGCCGAAGGTGAGAGGCACACGGGGAGGGGAGGAGGAAAAAAGAGGGGAGAGCAGAAGCCGGAGTGATCCTGAAGGATCGACCGAGGTTAGTTGACTCCATGGCTGGTTTTAAATCCCGAACGAGCCCCCACTGGTGGGAATTGCACTGATTTGTTTGGTCTAAAATCTGTTTCCTTAACGAGGTTGACTGGGATTGCCAAGACCGAAACTTTATTTTAAGGGGCAAGGGCGGCTTGCAATCCACAATGGCTCAGCTCCTTGGGGGCCAGCTGCTCCTTCCCCAACCTTCCTCACAAGATTGTTGTTAGGAGAAGAACGTTCCCAAGATGCCCCACCAGTTCCCAAACGTCGCCAAACAAAACGGGCCACAATTCTCCTTTTCTCTTCTCCCAGCCTTGAAGGATGTCCAGCCCTCCCTGGATAGATCCACCCGCCTCTTCTGCTCCGGTGATCCACAGGCCGCCAGCTCCCTACCTGGGGTGGAAGATCTCGACTCTCCGGTTGCAAAGGCCCTGCGCCAACCGCCCAGCCCACCGGACAAGGGATTCTTAGGTGCCCACCCAAAGCGCAAATCTCAGAGGTGGCTCTCTCTGTTCCCCCTGCCGGGACTTAGCCTGGCACGCTTCCCCCTGGATTTCAGGGGAGGAGACGTGGTTGCCCCCCATTCCTCCCTCCCCAAAGGACGGTGACGGTGCGAGCCACGAAAGAGCCAAGATCTTGCTCAGCCTGCAGAGGAAATCTTCCCAGGGCTGGCTGGGACGCTGGAGAGCCAGTGCCACAGAGATAGATCTGGTTGCCAAGGGCAAATGCACCTGCAGATCTCTCTGATCCTTTGCAAATTTATGAAGATCTCCCTGTCCTTTGCCAATATCCTAAAGTTCTCCATGTCCTTTGCAAACCCCAAAGTTCTCCCTGTCCTTTACCAAAGATTTTGAAAGTCTCTGTGTCGTTCTTTTTTTTTTTTCCAGACAAACTCTTCTACATTTACACTTCCGGAACAACGGGCTTGCCCAAGGCAGCAATCATCGTCCACAGCAGGTCAGTGGGGTGGGAGAGATCACGTGAAGTATTAATACCGCTTTACAAGGCCTTGGTAAGGCCACACTTGGAATCCTGCATCCAATTTTGGTGATGTAAAAAAGATGTTGAGACTCTAGAAAGAGAGCAGAGAAGAGCAACAAAGATGATCAGGGGACTGGAGGCTAAAATGTATAAAGAACGGTTGCTGGAACTGGGGATGTCTAGTTTAATGAAGAGAAGGACCAGGGGGGACAGGATAGCGGTCTTCCAGTATCTCAGGGGCTGCCCCAAAGAAGAGGGAGTCAAGCTATTCTCCAAAGCATTTCCTGAGGGCAGGACAAGAAGCAACGGGTGGAAACTAATCAAGGAGAGAAGCAACCTAGAACGAAGGAGAAACTTCCTGACAGGGAGGACAATTAACCAGTGGAACCACCTGCCTCCAGAAGCGGTGAATGCTCCAACACTGGAAGTTTTTAAGAAGAGAATGGACAGCCATTTGTCCGAAATAATATAGGGTTTCCTGCCTGAGCAGGGCGTTAGACTAGATGACCTCCAAGGTCCCTTCCACCTTTATTATTATTATTATTATTATTATTATTATTATTATTATTATTATTATTATGGATCATCGCACAGTCAGCCAGATGTTCAGACTGGATTTGGCATTTTGTCTACCTATCGAGTCCTTACCCAGGACCTGGGATAGGCAGATGTGGATGTTTGATGGTATTACAGATATCGTCGCAGGATGGAAGCAGTTCCTAGTAAGGCCGCCTTTTGCAATTGACTAATAGCGAATTTGTCAATGCCGATGATGGTGTTCAAGTGGTGCTCCAGTTGTTTGGGGATTGCACCCAAGGAGCCTATTATTATTATTATTATTATTATTTGCCGCAGTTCAGAACCAATCTGCTCCCTGTTTCTTCAAGAGCTCCTCCCCTCTACACGGGCTAATCCACCCAAACCGACTCGGGCGTCTCTTTTTTCTCGGACCAGGTATTTCCGGATGGCGACCCTGGTTTACGGGGGCTTTCGCATGACGCCCGATGATGTGCTTTACGACAGTCTCCCTCTCTACCACACGGCAGGTAAACACCAAAGCTCCGGGCTTTAGAAAAGCCCTCGTGCTTTTATTTTTCGTCCCGTGGCCAAAAAGTTGTGGTTTTTTTCCTCCTTTGCTCCCCTTTTTCCTGAAATGGCCCTCCCCAAGTAAGGCGTCAAAAAAAAGGGGGGGGAATCAGATTTCGTCCCAATAGCCATCGTCTCTTGCAATGTTTCTTGGGATCTTCATCTAACTGACGGTCAGGATCGCCTTGGATTGGGCTGAAAAGGTGAAAGAGCAAATTGATGGCTGCCATTAGGGGGGGAGGAAGCTGCCCTGAGCAGCTAGATTTCTCCTTGCAGGGAGAGAGAATGGGTCAAAAGGGAAGGGAGGGGGTTGAGTTGTAAGGTTGCTCCGATCTTTGGTACGAAGCATCGCAGTACAAAATCTATCCAAGGATCTGTCTGTCTGTCTGTCTAGCAAGCTAGTTAGTTATTATCTATCTATCATCCATCCATCCCTCTCATCCTTCCCTCTGTCCAGTTCCTTCCTTCTCTCCCTTTCCTTCCTTCCTTCCTTCCTTCCTTCCTTCCTTCCTTCCTTCCTTCCTTCCTTCCTTCCTTCCTTCCTTCCTTCCTTCTTTCCATTTTCAATCCTTCCTTCCTTCCTCCTTCCCTCCCTTCTATTCCCTTCCTTCCTCTCTCGCTGCCTTCCCTTATTCCTCCCTCCTTTCCTTATTCTCAATCCTTCCTTCCTTCTTTTCTCCCTCCCTTTCTCCCTCCCTTCCTTATCTGTCCTTCCTTCCTTCCTTCCTTCCTTCCTTCCTTCCTCCCTTCCTTCCTTCCTTCCCACTTCTTCCTTCCTTCCTTCCCTCTCATCCCTTCCTCCCTCCCTTCCCCCTCCCTCCCTAATTATTTTTATCTCCTTGCATTATTCTGCCTTTAGGGAACATTGTGGGGATCGGGCAGTGCCTCCTGCACGGAATGACGGTGGTGATCCGGAGGAAGTTTTCAGCGTCTCAGTTTTGGGATGATTGTGTCAAGTACAACTGCACGGTGAGGCAGGGGGGACCCCCGGTGGGAGGGAAGGAGGATCCAGTATTGGTGTGGCCATGCTCGCATTACACCTAAGCAAGGAAACCTTATTACAAGCAGTCCTTGACTAGAGTGGAATAGAATATGGAATGGGATGGAATGGAATGGAATAGAGTAGAATAGAACAGAATAGAAATAGAATAGAATAGAATAGAATAGAATAGAATAGAATAGAATAGAATAGAATAGAATAGAATAGAATAGAATAGAATGAAATATGAAATGGAATAGGATAGGATAGAAATAAAAATAGAATAAGATAGGATAGAAATAGAATAGAATAGAATAGAATAGAATAGAATAGAATAGAATAGAATAGAATAGAATAGAATAGAATGAAATATGAAATGGAATAGGATAGGATAGAAATAAAAATAGAATAAGATAGGATAGAAATAGAATAGAATAGAATAGAATAGAATAGAATAGAATATGAAATGGAATAGGATAGGATAGGATAGAAATAAAAATAGAATAGGATAGGATAGAAATAGAATAGAATAGAATAGAATAGAATAGAATAGAATAACAGAGTTATTGACAATGCATTTAAAACCCCAAACCCCTGTTTTAATTCTCATTCTTGCTGGAACAACGGATGGTTCTTATCCCCCACCTCTGAGTAGAGAAAACAAATTAAATTTAGCCCAGTTGAGCATCGACCGCGAAGAAGAAAGTTAAAATAATTTGGGGATCGGCGATTCTTGGGGTCTAATCTACCTCTGTAATAGTCCTGCTCCATGTCTGTTTGCTTTTGGAATTATTATTATTATTTATTATTTTTTGGGTTTCCTGTTTAATAGCAGTGCAAAAGAGCAAGCTTAGTTCTTCAAATGCCACGTCAAGACTCGTGTTTGCCTTTCCGCTTAATCCAGGTTTTTCTTCCCGTTCAGATTTTAAATATTATCCCAGTTGTGGGTAGGGTAAACATTGAATAAACAAGCCCGGGTTTTCTTTCCTTGGCTGTTGTTTTCTGTTTTAAATAAAACAGACAGAACTGAACAAGGGCGGCCCAAATGTTAAAACGGCACGTCGGATCGTTAATTCACGAACGGGGAATTCTCACCCAGCTGGGACTTTATTTATTTATTCTAAACGCCTAAGCAGACGAAAGCGTCTGGAACAAATAAGGCAAAAAAAATTAAATAAATAAGGTAAAATGATTTTGCAACCTGATTTATGCAGAATTTGAACCGGTGGGAGGAACGCGCCCGTGTCTCTGATTTCCAAAAGCGATGCAAAGGGATCGGTTTGGACACGGGCTGCGGTTTCTGAACACAAATCTAAGCTGTAAGTCTAAACGCAATCAATCTTAAAAGACGAATCTCTCTGGCCAAAAAAAAAAAAAAAACCCAACACAATTCAACACACGTCAACAAGGCCCTTCTAGGCCTGTCTGAAAAGAAACTAAGGTTAGTTTTAACGTACGACGCAGCTGAGCCACAAAGCTTGTTAAGTGAGTTTTGTCCCATTTTAAGACCTTTCTTGCCACAGTGACGCTGTGACCGTTGCAAGTCCGAGGACGGCTCGTCGGTCACTTTCTTTCAGTGCCTTTATAACTGTGAACGGCCATTAAACGAATCGCTGTATGCCGAGGACTGCCTGCACAGCCGTCGGACGTACAGATTTGCGACCCCTTAGCGAAATCTAGCCCTAATTGTCTTCGGAAGGGGAGGACTGCATGTATCCCGTGTCTTCCTTCCCTCAAACCCTCAAAAACTCGTGTGTGTGTGTGTGTGTGCAATCTTGTGATTTTCAGATTGTACAGTACATCGGGGAGATTTGCCGGTACTTGCTGAACCAGCCGTCGAAAGAGGTGGAGCGTCAGCACCGAGTCCGGATGGCATTGGGGAACGGCCTGCGGTCCTCCATCTGGAAGGAGTTCGTGGAACGTTTCGGCATCCCCCAGATTGCTGAGTTTTATGGCTCCACCGAGTGCAATTGCAGCGTGGGGAATTTCGACAACAAGGTAGGAGAAGGAAGGGGAAGAGTGCCAAGCGGGGAGAATCTCCCGAACTCAGAAATTGGGGAGCCCTCGGGGCTCACTTAAGCTCTGGGTGGTTTTCTGGCAGACGTTTCATGACCCAGCTAAGTAACATCATCAGTGCTAGAACGGAGTGGGGTTTGTGGGGAGGAAGGGGGGGAGGAGGAGGAGGATGAGGAGGAGGAGGAGGAGGAGGAGGAGGAGGAGACTGTGGGGTCCTTGATGCTATCTGAGCTTGGTTGTTTTCTTGTGGACGTTTCATGACCCAACTAGGGAACATCATCAGTGCTAGAAGGGAGTGGGGTTTGTGGGGAGGAAGGGGAGGAGGAGGAGGAGGAGGAGGAGGAGGAGGAGGAGACTGTGGGGTCCTTGATGCTCTCTGAGCTTGGGGGTTTTCTTGCAGATGTTTCATGACCCAACTAGGTAACAACATCAGTACTAAAAGGGAGTGGGGTTTTCAGAATGGAGGAGGAGGAGAAAGGGAGAAGGAAGAGGAGGAGGAGGAGGAGGATTGTGGAATCTTTGGTCCTTTCTGAACTTGGTTCTTTTCTTGCAGGCATTTCATGACCCAACTAGGGAACGTCATCAGTGCTAGAAAGGAGTGGGGTTTGTGGAGGAGGAGGGGAAGCATTGATGATGAAGATGATGTTCCCTAGTTGGGTCATGAAATGCCAACCGCCCAGTTCAGAGAGCACCAAGGGCTTCAAAGAAAAAGTGGTCCTGAGAAGGTCAAGGGGCAGAGGGGGACAAAATGGGACCTCCCTGTTCTTCTTCTGAGCCCGTTTGTCCAAATTTCTCTGCTCTACAGTTCGGGGCCTGTGGCTTCAACAGCAGAATCCTCCCCCATGTTTACCCCATCAAGCTAATCCGGGTCAACGAAGACACCATGGAGCTGATCCGGGGACCAGATGGGCTTTGCCTGCAGTGTGAACCAGGTGAGATCAGAGTGGTGATGGAGATCTCGGGTGGAGAGAAGGTCCCCATCCATTCCATTGTGTTCTTCTTTGGCTGATGGTGGAAGCTCCTTAGATGCCTCCAAGCTATGTTGTGTTGCAAGCATCAGAGGACCTCAGCACTCCATTCCATTGTGTTCTTCTCTGGCTGATGGTGGAAGTTGCTTAGATGCCACTAAGCTATGTTCTGTTGCAAGCATCCGAGGACCTCAGCACTCCATTCCTTCATGTTCTTCTCTGGCTGATAGTGGAAGCTCCTTAGATGCCACTAAGCTATGTTCTGTTGCAAGCATCCGAAGACCTCAGCACTTGAGGACCTGCCGGACCCCCAAATCCTGAAAAAAACTCAAATCCAGCACCTCCCTTCCTCTCTTTCCCCAGGGGAACCAGGTCAGCTGGTGGGGCGCATCGTCCAAAGCGATCCGTTGCAGCGTTTTGACGGCTACTTGAACCACGAGGCCAACAATAAGAAGATCGCCCGAGATGTCTTCACCAAAGGCGACTCTGCCTACCTCTCAGGTGAGCCTTCTTTAACTCTTATTGTGGGGTGCATAATCATTGTCACCTACACAAAAAGTCCTGTCAGTCAGAGCTGGAAGCTCTACAGGTAATCCTCAACTTAACAACAGTTCATTTCGTGACCGTCCCAAGTTACAACCGCCCTGAAAAAAAAATGACTTACGACCGTTTAACGACCGTTGCAGCATCCCCCAGGGTCATGTGATCACAGTTCAGACACTGGCAGCTGACTCGTATTTACGACGGCGTTTGCGCCCTTCTGACAAGCAAACTCAAGCCGGATTCGCTTGACGACCGCGTAGCTACCTTAACCACCGCCGCGATTCGCTTAACGACCGAGGCGAGGAAGGTCGTAAAATGGGGGCAAGCTCACAGAGCTGCTGCCTTGCTTAGTGACGGTTGGGGTCGATAGCGATCATAAGTCCAGGACGGCCTGTACGTAAAGAAGGGGAGGCCTGCCACGAACGTTCACCGCCACCCTCGCCGCGTTTGTCCCTCAGGTGACGTCCTGGTCATGGACGAGCTGGGCTACCTGTATTTCCGAGATCGCACGGGGGACACCTTCCGCTGGAAGGGCGAGAACGTCTCCACGACGGAGGTGGAAGGCACCCTCAGCCGGATCCTCAGCATGGCGGATGTGGTGGTCTACGGCGTGGCGGTGCCAGGTCAGTGGGAAGGGCCAAAGACAAGGACGGAGGGGGGGGGATAGGATTGGGCAGAGTTTTTTTTCTATCATATGGAGAAACCCCAAATTGTCTATCTGCCTGCCTGCCTGCCTATCTATCTATCTATCTATCTATCTATCTACCTATCTATCCATCGTCATCTATCTATCTATCTATCTATCTATCTATCTATCTATCTATCTATCTATCTATCTATATCTATCCCTCTCTCTCTCTCTCTATCTCTCTATCTATCTATCATCTATCTATCTCATCTCATCTGTATCTATCTATCTATCTATCCATCATCATCTATCTCTCTCTCTCTCTCTCTCTCTATCTATCTATCTATCTATCTATCTATCATCATCTATCATCATCTATCTATCTCATCTCATCTGTCTCTATCTATCTATCCATCTATCTATCTGTGTCTATCTATCTATCTATCTATCTATCTATCTATCTATCTATCTATCTATTATCTATCCATTATCTATATCTATCTATCTATCCATTATCTATCTATCTATCTGCTATCAACTATGTCTATATAACTATATATTTATTATCTATCTATCTATCTATCTATCTATCTATCTATCTATCTGTGTCTGTCTGTCTATATCTATCTGTCTATCTGTGTGTCTATCTGTGTGTCTATCTATCTATCTATCTCTGAGTATCTATCTATCATCATCTATCTATCTATCTCATCTCATCTGTCTCTATCTATCTATCTATTTATCTATCTGTCTGTCTATCTATCTATCATCTATCTATCCATTATCTATATCTATCTATCTGCTATCTATCTATCTATCTATCTATCTATCTATCTATCTATCTATCTATCTATCTATCTATCTATCTATCTATTTAGAAAATTTATTTGTAAAATGTATTTATAAAATGGGTGGGGGAAAGGTGGGATCATCTGTTATATTACTCAATCAACCATCTGCTCAATCAAAGACCGTTTTGTCTGCCTGTTTTGTTTTTGTTTTTTAGGCACGGAAGGGAAAGCTGGCATGGCTGCCGTCGTCGATAAGGAACATTCCTGCGACTTGGAGCGATTTGCAGCAGAAATGAAGAAAGCGCTGCCTGCCTACGCCCGGCCGGTTTTTCTGCGCTTGCTGAAGGAAGTGCATCAGACAAGTGAGTGCACAATTTATACAATTGGACGTGGCATCACCGAGACGGTTAGTTTCACGCTAAGGGCCAGAAATATCAGAATAACAGAGTTGGAAGGTTTCTTTGCCTTGCCAAAAGCAAAGAGAAATGACAAAAAAAAAAAAAAAACCCAAACAAATGCCGATTTTCCTTACTGTACGTGTTGCTTCTCTTTTTTCCTCCTCCCACCCCTCCCACTTTCCTCTCAGGCACTTTCAAGTTCCAGAAAGTCGATCTGCGCAAGGAAGGCTATGATCCCAGAGTGGTGAAAGATAAATTATTCTACTTGGACTCTCGAGAATGCCGGTATAAGCTATTGGACGAAGAAATCTTCGAAAAGATCCGGTTGGGACAAATCAAGCTGTAAAAGGGGAGGGGGGAGAAATCAAAAGGACTTTTTTCCCTCCTCAAAAACTGATCATATCCTTCGGTGCAAGGAATTGGGATTACAATGGGGCAGGAAAACTGGAAACGGTCAAGTCAGTTTCTGGGTTTGGGTTCCCTCCCCCTTGTTGCCGACCACCTCCCGACCTGATGCCAGATTAGAGGGAAAAAAATTACGTTTCCCAAAAAAGGCACTGCAAATCTTAGTTTTTATTTGATTGTGGGTTTTTTTTTTTTTTCTGGCAGCTTGGACGATTTTACGTAGCGTCGGCTTTACCAAAGCACAGATGATATTTCAGCTTTCTTTTCTCCTTTTGGGAAAGGGTGGATCTCTAGCAGATCCCACAAGGACTAACTTTCTTTGTCCCTTAGCTGGGACTCCAAAGCTCATCATCCTCCGTGTCTTAGCAGGAAGATGGTTGAGGTGGCATCTAAAAAACACCAAGAGCTGCAGTGCTTGGGGATTACCTCTAGGGGGCGCCCTTGCGCTGCCTTGCTCTGCTGACCAGCCATTCTTATATTTATTTTAGTGGGTTTTTTTCCTCTGCTCTTCCTTTTAATTTTTATTGGTTGCTATTTGCAAAGCACAAAAGAGGCAGCCTGGTTGAAGAAGGTGCTTATCGAGGCCCCAGCTCTGCTTTTGTTCCAAGATGAATTTTTTGGGGGTGGGTGGGGGTGGGAAAACTTGCTGTATCCGCCTTTTAATTGCACGGGGGGGGGGGTGTTTTTGAAAATGGAGATAAGATTTGCCTTCCAAAGTTAAAACTTTGCACAGTTTGGGGGGGGGGGAATCTCACTGCAGGAGCAAACAGATTCCGTTGTTTTTTCAGTCTAATGCAATACACCTACACCCACGTATCCGGTTGGCCTCTGGTTGGTTCCTAACGCACATCCAGGTTTATTCAGTTCTTCGACTTTTGGAACAAAAAGGGCTTTTTTTTAAGGAAAAAAACAACAACAACAAACCATGAGCCAAATGCTGTGACGGGCTATTTGTGCCCTGAGCAATTGCTTACCTATCCCGTTTTGCCCATCCCGAACGTTCCTAGTGGGCCTTCAGGCCTGACTGCTTTTCAGAAGTTTGAAATCCACATTCTGATTTTTCTGTACCGAATTAAGCGGATCTGTAATTCCAGCTCAAATTAGCTTTCTGCTCCCCCCCCCCTCTCTCCATGCCCTGAAAACTCAAGCTGGAACTGCTTTATTTTCCACCGGACGTTTCCAAAACGTTGGGCACAGCGGCTTTTTGATCTTGCCAATTTCTTTTTTAAAAAAAATGCAACGAGATCTCTCGTGCTCACATGAGGGAAACTCCAAGCCGCAGGAGACGGACCCCTTGCCTCTGAAAACAGAACTATAGGATGTCCAGTTGAATCTCCGAGAAACCTACGCTAAAACAGGCACACCTTGCGATGTTTTGCGATGTAGAAGTCTCTGCACAGCTTCAGGCCCCCAAATAGAATGGCTGGAGATAATTGGACTGGCCAATCAATGGTCTTAAAAATGCAGGCAGCCATTCCGTTCCCGGAGATGTGTTAAAATCATCTTATGATTTTCCTGGAAACGTGCCTGTTAGGTCAGCATGGACCTTGCAAATCCCTGCCCGGCCTCTTTTGAGCCATCCCACCAACTGAATTTCCCACAATGCCTAGCACCCACGTTTTAAAAGATGCTGGGTGACAGACACAGAAACCCCTCCCTTCCTGAGGGTGCCTTGTGTCATTTCCAAACCCCCCTTTCTCCCTCCCCCCTCAAAAAAAGAGGCAATAATAACTTTGGAAGAGCTCTCATGTCTTTCCACGTCAATCTGTGTTCTACGCGTCGGCGAAATGATCTTTATTGTTGTAATTTGTTTGTTTAATGGGTGCTGTTGCAAGCACTGACTCAGGGAACGGGGGCTAAGGAGGGGCGTGTCTGGCGAAGAGGCATTGGAAGCCCCCCCCCCAAAGACTCATCTTAATTCTGTTCTGAATGGAGGCGTGACTGATCATCATCTCCCTGAAGTCTTCCCACGCAAAAGCCCATTTTCCACGGGCACCCCAAACTTCACGGCTTGACAAATTCTCTGCTGGAACTTGGAAACTTAATTAAAGAAGATTTTGATTTTGCTGGCCAGTGTAGCAATCGTGCTTTCCCTCCCCGACACTGCTCCAGTTTATCCCAGCACTTTAAACAATTTTGCAGAGGGCCAAAACTGGCACTGGATGTACTGTCCAGGGTCCTGGTGTCTATTCCCCCACTTATTTCCTGTGCTCTTGAGTGTGTATATCCTTTGGTGTATGGATTTACAAGCTGGAAGTTGTCTGAAATATTTGGGGTAGCTGCAGAAGAATGGGGGGGGGGAAACGTGCCATTGGCTGATAATGTCTAATAAACATGAGCGCTTCCTTCTGTGAGCTTTCCCTATCGTTTTACCTCTATTGCGGATCGTTGCCTTGCCTCAAAGTAGCTCCTGAAGCTGCTAATAAATCAGGATGGACAGATATGGTAGGGTTGAAAGGGCAGAGGGATACCCCGATGTCTTGCGCCCTGGCGTACAAATGCCACAAGCTCCTCTCACCTTGATTTGAGACGTACAGAGTGCCTGAAATGGGGAGAATTTTCACGTGCCTCCCTGCTTGCTGTTTGCTTAGAGATAGTCTCGCATCATCCTAAAAAGCAAGATGGGAAAAATTGAGAGTGTGCCCCAGGAAGGAGGCAGCTAAGCCCATACTGGCAGTTCGGCAAAGAAAAAAAAAATTTGCAGCCCTAGAGAATGCGGATAACAGAGTTGGAAGGGAGGTCTTCTAGTCTAGCCCCCTGCTCAGGCAGGAAACCCTATATCATTTCTGTCAGTCTCTTCTTAAAAACGTCCAGTGTTGGAGCATGCACCGCTTCTGGAGGCAGGTTGTTCCACTGGTTCATTGTTCTCATTGTCAGGAAATTTCTCCTTAGTTCCAGGTTGCTTTTCTCCTTGATTAGTTTCCATCCGTTGCTTCTTGTCCGGCTTCAGGCGCTTTGGAGAACAGCTTGACTCCCTCTTCTTTGGGGCAGCCCCTGAGATACTGGAAGACCGCTATCATGTCCCCCCTCGTCCTTCTCTTCATTAAACTAGACATACCCAATTCAGCAACCGTTCTTTATGTATTGTAGCCTCCAGTCCAAGCCGTTCCACTGATTAATTGATCTGGGATTATAGAATAACAGAATGATAGAGCTGGAAGGGACCTTGGAGGTCTTCTAGTCCAGCCCCCTGCTCGGGGAGGAAGCCCTATACCATTTCAGACAAGTGGCTGTCGAATCTCTTCTTCAAAACCTCCAGTGATGGAGCACCCACAATTTCTGGAGGCAAGCTGTTCCACTGGTTAATTGTTCTCAGGATCCTTTGGTAGATAGGCTTTGTTTTTTTTGGGGGGGGGGAATCTCTAAAATGCTTTGCCTCTCCCTCTTTATTTCCCAGTGCTGTTGGGCCAAGACTAGCACGGATCAGGAAGGCCGTTTTTTCGAGTCGTTCGGGGGTGTCTTCCTCGGAGTTCACAGCCAGCCAAGTGGCTTTTGCTGAGACGGATAATGAGAGAGGCCAACGTCTTTTGAAGATCACTTTCAGGGACTCCAAAGGTTAAACGCCTGCTTAGAGGAGCCTATTGAAGGTTGAGGCAGGGGTCTGGCATTGTTTGAACACCCCTCCGGCTTTGTTGGGCTGCTTTCCGAGGACGCTGCCTGCCTGTGTGTGTGTGTGTGCAGGGCGGTCTCCTCTCCCTCCAGGCTGAGGGGGCTCCAATGCAGCTGGAAGGGTTTTCTAGCAAGTGGGTGGGTGACAGACAGGGGTCTGTAGCTTGCATTCTTTCTCAGTTTAACCCCAGCTCTGCCTCCCTGATCTCCGTATGACACCCCATTACCACATGAATGGGGAGAAGAAAGCATCACTCCTTCTGACCTTTCCCCCCCCCCCCCGCACACCAGCCCCCAGGGGCAGCGGCTGGGCTGGCTCTCTCCGCTCTGCTCCCCCCCCCTTCCTCGCCAGACCCTTGTTGTTCTGGGCTGCTGCAGAGGGGCGTTCAGATCCGAGGCTGGCAAAAGCAAACAAAGCCCCCTCCCTCCACGCCCGCCCTGGGCCAGGAAGCCCCCATTGTCATGGTTGCTCCTGCCCGGGCTCTGGAGGCCTCCGCCCCTGCTCCATGGTGCTCGGCGGGCTGGCTGGTCAGGGTGAAGGGCCCCGGCAGCTGTAGGCAGATGCCCCCAAAGGCTTGATTGGAAATTAATTGGGTCTTTTTGGAGGGGGGGGGGCTTGTAAACTGTCTGGACTTCTCTATTATCACTTCCTTCCTTTCCTTTCCTTCCTCTCATTCCCAACTCCTTTCTTCTTTTTCCTTTCCTTTCCTTCCTTCCTTCCTCTCTCATTCCCAATTCCTTTTTTTCTTTCTTCCTTTCCACTTTCCTTCCTTCCTTCATTTCCTTCCTCTCATTCCCAACTCCTTCCTTCTTTCCGTCTTTTTCCTTTCCTTTCCCCTTCCTTCCTTCGTTTCCTTCCTCTCGTTCCCAACTCTTTCCTTCTTTTTGTCTCCTTTTTCCTTTCTCCTTCCTTCTTTTCGTCTTTTTTCCTTTCTGCTTCCTTCCTTCCTTCCCTTTCCTTTCTCTCATTCCCAACTCCTTCCTTCTTCTCCTTTTTCCTTTCCTTTCCCCTTCCTTTCTTTTTTCCTTTCCTTTCCTTTCTTTTCCTTCCCTTCCCTACCCTCCTTCTTCTCTCTCTCCTTCTCTCTTTCTTGGGTTTTTAGTGAGAACGAGTCCCAAGCCCTGGCCATACAGAAACTAAACCAGATCAGTTGAATCCAAGACCATCCACGGTGTTATATCAAGGTGTGTCCTGTATTTTTCACCGTTTACTCATTTTTCATTGTTTCATAAGATTTATTTATCAAACAAACGCGTCTTGCACATCCCAGTTTAACACCATCAGGGTTGTTATGCTTTTTTTTCCCCATTCAACACTTGCAAATGGAAAAAAAAAAAGCACCCTTTCCCTTCCAAATGTGCTGGATTACAGCCCCCATCATCCACACACACCCCCAGCCTGTCCAGCACTATGGGAACTGTAATCCAGCACTTCTCCAAGGGAAAGAAGGGGACGGCGGAGAAGAGCCGACCATAGAGACAGACTCTCTATGGTTTTTCTCTCCCTCCGCCCGCGCTGCCGGGCAACCGCGCGCCTAACCCGGATGCGGAGTGGCGCTTCCGGCGCGCGCAGCGCGGCTCCCTGAGGCAAAATGGCGGCGCCCTTGTCTGTGCAGCTGGAGTTCGGGTGAGGGAAGCCCCGGACTTGGGGGGGGAGGAGAAAACAACTGGGGGGGCTGGGGAATGGAGCATTTGGGGGGGTCCCTCGTGGGACTGAGGATAGGAGGGGGCTTGGGCGGCGGGGGGGGGCTTGGAGGGCGAGGGAGGGGCTTGGGAATGGGGCGGGGGTGAGGTTGGTTCCTATTATCTAGGAAAGGGGGGGGGAGTGGTTGGGGGGGACCCATCAAATAACCCCCCCCATTAATCTCTCCCCCATGGGGCTTCTTCAAGGCTAGCTCTCTCGGCTGCCTTGGACTATCATTCCCATCCTCCCCAGCCAGGCTAGGCCAGAGCTCAACAAGCTTTGGCAAGCCTGGCCAACGTTTTCATTGGGGGTTGGACCCTCAAAACCATAAGGTTATAACAACAACGACGGTCACAACCACAGTAATAATAATTATAGTCACCTTGTAGGGGAGATGGGTGGCATAGAAATATAGTTAATACATAAAATAATATATTCCTGTGGGTTCCTGCCCCCCCCCTTATTTAAAGCATCTTTAGAGGGTCCGCCCTTCAAGCCCTGGAGAATATCAAGAAGGGGGCCTGTTTGTGGGTGGGTGGGGGGTCCAGCCCAAGCAGGTAGTGATGGTGGGTTGACTTTTTTTTCTTGTGCCTTTATTTCTGGGTGGGGGGGGGGCAAATAAGACATGGGAGAATGGGGAGGGGTCCTGCAATATGAAGGTTATTCTGCCTGAGGATCCCACCCAGGCAAAACAAAAATAAAAGCACCCACTGCCCTCCCCTTGCAAGCCATTTTACAGTTTTCATCCTTGGCATTAAGGGAGGACGGAGTGGGAAGTGAACTTTACATAAAACTTTAAAGGCACAGGGTGTGTGGAAATTGACCCTCAAGTAGAATGACCGAGAGAGGTTAATGTGTAGATTTTGATTCAGATTTAAATTTGGATCTACCGAGACCCTGGAAAGAGGCTTTGTATAAAATAATGTATAAAATGTCATTTTTGTAAAGCAAGGGCAAGGTTAACAGATCCAAGTGGCGTGTATTTTTCATGTCTTTGGGTTGGAAATGTCAGATTTTTCTGACGTCTTTACTGGAGGGTTTGATAAGATAAGGATTTTTGGCTACAGTGGAATCTGATAAACTGTTAAGAAACATGGACCATCATATGTATTTATTTAGTTTTGGCCTTGAGGGTTGGTCCATACCTCCAGAATTCAGGATTCTTTAAATGAGTAGCAGGACGTTTGAAGTGGCTATAAAGAAGAAATATGAACGTTCAGAGTGTGATGTTTTCTCATTATTCTCCAAACTGGTTCCTTTATGTATGGCTTTAACATTCAAAAGTGTTCATAGTTATAATAATAGTAATTCCGACACCATAGTGTCACCAGTAATATATAGTGGACTCACACTGAAAGTTCCTTTCTGTGAGATATAGCTATACTTTAAAAAAAAAAAACTAGGCTTAAGAAATTGTTTCTAGTATTTAGTGGTGAGTCTTTCCATTATGAAGACTGGGGCAGGGTGGGGGAATTCCTTCATATTAAATAGAGAAAGAGGTACTATGTTAAACTGCAAATGAATTGAATGGAACATTTTGTGACCAAGGGTTTTTGTGAGATGCAGTGCTTTCTCAGCATAACAGTAATGTATAGCTGTCCTCAAAAAGCACAAAAATTCAGCATGTATTTTATTTATTTAAACAGTTATGTGTACAGTGATGAGAAATACTATAGGCATTTAATGAAGAAAGCATAGCTTTCAAAGATTTAGACCTTTAGATCCTCTGTTGACTTTGACAGAATAAAGGATTATCTCTTAAGAAACAGGCCAGTATATATCAAGATTAGCGATTTGCAACTTCCTTTGATATTATTGCTCTTATTAATACTCTTTTTAAATCACCCAGTTGCTTATACTGTACAGGATTCATTTTAAATATGGGCTGAAAGAGTGCAGAACTTAAACTATTACTGTATTAAGAGGCGTGTTTGGAATATATATTTAAAGTACTTTTCGCATTTATAAATGCGGAATATTTTTTTTTTCTCTGGATAAGCGTTTATCATTCTCAGAGTTAATTTGATCTACTGTCGTAAAATACGGTTAATCAGATCCCCCCTTTGTAAAAGCGGTCCTCTGGGGACTGTTCAAATCCACATCCCATCATCTCTGTCTGTGGGTCAAGCTATGTCTAGTGTGAGTTGAAATTGACCAGTTCTGTGTCCATCTCCTGTTAAGCCCAGGTTTATGAACTTTAGATGTCTTAGGCCATCAGTCTCATAGGGAAGACGATAGGGAAGATGGAGAAGAGGGAATCCTTTTGAGATAAATCCACCTGCGTCTTCCCCATAGAGACACTGATACCCTTCTTACTCTCCAGAATGGCCTGTGTGTAGTCATTCTCGCCCGCTCTCTTCCTTTCCTGGAAAAGCCTAAATGGCTTCTCTATGTGTGAGTTTCGCAGCTGAGTTTCTCCCAGCTAGCATGTTACAGAAAGGACCTTATCTGCCATCCCACTGTCTGTGGGAACACACAAAGTGTGAGCTTGTTTTCACGGCAAGCAAGCAGAAAAGAGGCCTCTGCCGAAGCTCGCACTTGGCACGAATCTCTAGGTCTGTCTTAGACATTTAATAATTGCTATTTTCAATTTTCAGATAACAATTAGGGGGAGGGAGGGAGAAAAAAAAATTGGACAAGACCAACGGCTTTCTTCTGAGGAGAGCAACTGCCCAGAAAATCATAGCCTTACAAAGGAAGTGTTTGTGTTCTCAGGAAAGTACAGCCAAAACTCTCCCTTCACATCCCTGGACTTTTAAGATATTGAGAATATTCCACTTTTACAAAATTTTCATATTACTCAGCTGGGTCTCTTTGCAAACATTGCAGCTAAAAGGTTGCGTGTGAAGAAGAACAGAATGATGGAATTGGAAGGGACCTTGGAGGTCTTCTAGTCCAACCCCCTACTCAAGCAGGAAAGTGAAAAAGAAATGAAATGTATTCTATAATGGCTCTTTTGTGGTTTGGGTGATGTGGTATAGGGTTTCCTGCTTAAGCAGGGGGTTGGACTAGAAGACCTCCAAGGTCCCTTCCAACTATTCTATTCTATTCCTTAATTCTATTCTATTATATTCTATTCCATTCCATTCTAATTTCTATTCTATTCTATTCCTTAATTCTATTCTATTTATTCTATTCCCTATTCTATTCTAGTCTATTCTATATCCTCTATTCTACTCTACTCTACTCTACTCTACTCTACTCTACTCTACTCTACTCTACTCTACTCTACTCCATTCCACTCTACTCTACTCTACTCTACCCTATCCTATCTATCCTATCCTATGTCTGCTTTCTGTTAATCTTAGCTAAAGGAATACATTTTAAATAAGACTGACGCTACCTTCAAACACGGCCCATTATCATTGTCTGTGTGAAGTGTGATACTTTTGACAACTTAGCCCTAAATCCACGGCTGAGCCAGGCTCAAGGCTTTCTGAGATTCCCAAGCAAACTATTTAAACACAGAACAGAGAAAATGGGCTTTTAAAAACGCGGGCTCAGCCGTGGTTTTGAGTCTGAGCCATTAAGAAGGGTCAAGGAAAGGAGCAAAAGATTCTGGGCATCGGTGAATTCTCCTTTCAGCTTTCCAGGAGCACAGACTCTATATAATGCTATTGGTTGTTTTTTTCCTCCTGTATTTAGCTTTAAAATCTTAACTCCTTTCCCAAACCAGCCTTATACAATTATGTTTTTCTCTTTCCCCCCCCCTTTGAATTTCAGAGGTGGAGCAGAACTCCTGTTCGATGGGGTAAGGAAACACCAGGTGAATTTGCCCCACCAATCTGAACCTTGTGAGTATGGATTGACCGATAACAAGTCCTTGCGGATGTTTGTTTATTTAAATAACAGCCTCTTTCTGGAGTCTTAACGCACAAACGTACGCCAAGGCAGCGTGAAAGCCGTCTTTAAAAGTCCACCAAAGCACCTTCAGAGAGAGCCCCATCCTACGGGAAGCATGCCCGTAATAACAATCCTTCACAAAGTAAAACAAATGATTAAAAATACTCAGATTCTAAGGTGCCCAATGGGTTCCTGAAATACTGTGATGCCCAAAGATAGTAATAGTAGTAAAGTTGGAAGGAACCTTGGAGGTCATCTAATCCAACCCCCTGCTCAGGCAGGAAACTCTATACCATTTCAGGCAAATGGCTGTCCAGTCTCTTCTTAAAGACTTCCAGTGTTGGAGCATTCACCGCTTCTGGGGGCAGGTTGTTCCACTGATTAATTGTTCTCATTGTCAGGAAGTTTCTCCTTAGTTCTAGGTTGCTTCTCTCCTTGATAAGTTTCCATCCGTTGCTTCTTGTCCTGCCTTCAGGCGCTTTGGAGAATAGCTTGACTCCCTCTTCTTTGGGGCGGCCCCTGAGATACTGGAAGGGTGCTATCATGTCCCCCCTGGTCCTTCTCTTCATTAAACTAGACAGACCCAATTCCTGCAACCGTTCCTTATATGTTTTAGCCTCCAGTCCCCTAATCATCTTTGTTGATTTTGATCAAGATGATTTTGAAGTTGCTGGGAAAACGGTTTTTTTTTTTCCCCACAGAGGAAACTTCAGAGATCTTCTGGTTGTTTCTCATCATGCTTAGAGAATAGTTTTCACTCTTTTCCCCCTGTGCTAGCTTGAATGCGGACAAAAAATGAAACCGATTTTTATTTTCAAACTATTTTTTTTTTGGTCCAGGAATTCAGCATCGTCCAGGTTTCCCAGGCTGAGCAAAACCTGGACACCTACACCCCTTCTTCCTCTTCCGTTAACATGCAAGGGGATTTTTCTGGCCTGCTATCCTGCAAGAGTTGCAAACCACAGTTTGCGGCAGTCGAGCGTGGAGCTGGCGGAGAAAGAGACCATGTTTGTGATCCTGGTTTTTATCCAGGCCTTTTCCTGCACAGGAGCTGGGTCTGCCAGCGGAGCCCAGCAGCTAGGGATGACGAATGAAAGAGGCAGCTCAGGGTGGGGGTGTCCCACATAGAGAAGGGAGCGGAGCAGCCCAAGAAAGAGGAGGGGAGTGGAGAAACAAACAAAAAAATCTCATAAAGTTCCTATTAGGGATCAAGGAACAGATTCACAGCCCGGTCAGAAAGAAGGAACCAACCATTAAAATCCCCCCCACCCCTTCCTTGACCCCCTCCCCAATCTGCTTCCCTTTGCAGGGGGGCCCCCAACCCACTGAAAAGGTGACAGTGCATGGAGAGGAAGGGAGGTGGGTCCGGAGACCTTTAAACTGCACAGCCTTTGCTTTGCATAGTTCACCCTGCCAGCTGTTCCTTTCTCCTCCACAGCCCTCCTTCCCCGCCTCTGTGTTTGCAGAAGCCAGGGTGGGTGGGGGGTGCTCCTGTGCAAAATTGCTTTTGAAAAGAGCTACTTTCTGCTTAATTAAACAATGGGCCGCCCCCACCCCACACACATCTGTAAAGGCCCTGGCGCTTTATCCCTCCAACTTTATCCCACAAACTGCTCCATTCTTGACTCTTTTCATTTGTAAATCTTCCCTCCCCCCCTCCCTCTTCCCCCTGCCCTTGCCCTCCCTCCTTCCCCAGTCCTGTCCCTTGCCTTTCTCTCCTCTTTCAGATGACTGTTGAGAAAGCTGGTTGACATTGTCCCGGTTTTTCTTTTTTTCTTTTTGGTGGGGGGGGGAGAGAAATAGTTTGAGAATGGAGCTGTTTGCCTTAAAGGGCCCTTGGTTTGTCTTGTCTTAAAGGTCAGGGCAGGGGGAGGGAGAGAGAGAGAGAAAGAGAGCAAAAGAGAGAGAGCGAAAGAGAGATCGAAAGAGAGAGAAAGAGCAAGAGAGAGAGAAAGAGCAAAAAAGAGAGAAAGAGAGCGAAACAGCGAAACAGAGAAAGAGCAAGAGAGAGAGAGAGAAAGAAAGAGAGCAAAAGAGAAAGAAAGAGCAAGAGAGAGAGAAAAAAGAGAGAGAAACTTCTGGGATGGTTTAAATTCGACCCCTTGTGAAAGCTGGGACGAGAATTGCTTTTTAGAGGGGCTTCTCCTAAACACACAAATCCCCCCCCCTTTTTTTAATGCTCCACTCGATAGATGTGAAATATCAAGAGAGACTTTTAATCTGCAGTACATTGGGTACTATACTACACTGGGTTTTGAACCAATCGACTGCTTTCTTAGAGTAATCAAGCTAAATCTTATTTCAAGGCAGGAGAGGTGTTACTGCCTTAATGCCTCCGTGGGGGAGGAAAAGAGGTCTCTTTAAAGGCCAGGGAAAAAGGGATCCCCCCCCCTTTGATTCATGTACGCAGATACATTGAGAGTTGTTTTTTTTTTTTTCACTCGCTGAACCCACTCAGATTCCTTGAACGAAATGACTCAAAAATTTGATCAACCTCTATTAAATCGGCTTGATTTCAGCCTTTTCTTCCGTGTTCTCCGAGCTGGGTGGTTTTCTGGCAGACGTTTCGTGACCCAACTAGGGAACATCATCAGTGCCAGAAAGGAATGGGATTTGTGAAGAGGAGGAGGAGGAGGACGGCTGTGGGGGTCCTTAGTGCTCTCTGAGCTTGTTTTCTTGCAGACGTTTCATTACCAAACTAGGTAACAACATCAGTGTTAGAAGGAAGTAAGGTGGAGAAGAGGAGCAGGGGGAGGGGGAGGGGGGCTAGGAGGAGGAGAAGCAAAAGGGGAGAAGAAAGAGGAGGACTGTGGGGGCTTTGGTGCTCTCTGAGCTTGCTGGTTTTCTTACAGACGTTTCATTACCCAACTAGGTAACGACATCAGTGTTAGAAGGAAGTAAGATGGAGAAGAGGAGGAGAAGCAAAAGGGGAGGAGGAGGACTGTGGGATCCTTGGTGCTCTCTGAGCTTGCTGGTTTTCTTGCAGACATTGCACCCAATCCTCCTCCTCCTCCCTGCAAACCCAACTCCCTTCTAAGCACTGATGATGTCCCTTAGTTTGGGTAATGAAACATCTGCAAGAAAACAACCAATCTCAGAAAGCACCAAGGACCCCATAGTTGTCTTCCTCCTCCTCCTCCTCCTCCTCCTCCTCCTCCTCCTCCTCCTCCTCCTCCTCCTCCTCCCTCTTTCTCTTTTGGCTCTCTTGGATGTTATTTTATTTAAGGAGAGATTTCCCCCCAACTAAGAAGGCCTAGTGGGGCCCTGATGCAGAGTTGAAACCAATCAGATTTTTTTTTTTAATTTTACTTGTTAAATTGATATGCCGACCAACTCACTTATCGAGCAACTCTTATGGAGTGTTCCTCCCGCTGCCCGTGGCCTCCCCCAGCCCTGCATCACGTATCTTAAGGTTTTTGGAGCAGAGGGTGGTGGCAGAGGAATACAAAAGAAACGTCTCAAGGCTACCTCGTCCCAGCTTGTGACCTTCCCAGAACCCGCCCTTCCGCCCTCCTCTTAATTCAGCCACGCCACATTTGGCTTCTCCCAGACCAAGTGGGTCCTCATCCTCCTCCTCCTCCTCCTCCTCTCATTATTTTTTAAAACGTGAAGAATAAGTCATCTATCAATCCAAGGAGGTGCCACTACGTTCAGGGAGCTGGCCTTTGTCATGATGACGGGATGACAATTGGCCGGAGGTAGTGACCTCAGCAAATTGAAGCTTGGCTGTGGTCGCTGTGATAAATGATCTCCTTTTCCCTGGGAAGGGGGGGGGGCTGAAAGGCCCAGGGGAAAGCTCTGGGTCCCCCACCGCCCACCCCACCTCCCAGTCCAGCGTCTGAGCCGCCCATTCAAGAACTGATGGAACCGTTGACGCCCTGATGGCTTGGCGTACATCTTCTTCCTGGCCTCAGCCTTGTGCCCAGGGCCTTGTGGGCGAGGTGAGGGACGGGGTGATCCAGGAAAATCCCGTTCCTGGGATACCAGGCACAGAAACTGGGGGTGACCCTCTGCCATTTCGGCCGGCAGGTGAGATCTTGCTAAATTCCCCAACCCAAGGGGAGCAAAGAGTGGATCTCCTTGTCCTACTTCGGATGTTGTTCTGGAGCTACCTGCCAGGCTGAGGGTCCTAAGGTCCTGCGAACAGCTCAGAAAGGCAGCAGAGCAAACAAACCGGGTAAATTTAACGAACCTGGAATTAAGGAGAAACTTCCTAACAGTGAGGACAATTAACAAAGCGGGAGAGCTTGCCTTCAGACGCTGTGGGTGCTTCATCACTAGACGTTTTTAAGAAGAGATTGGACAGCCATTTGTCTGGAATGGTCCAGGGTCTCCTGCTTGAGCAGGAGGCTGGACTAGATGACCTCCAAGGTCCCTTCCAGCTCTATTCTGATTGATTGATTGATTGATTGATTGAAAGCCTTGATTCTTTGGCTGGCCACAGCTTCCTTTCCACTCCACAAACCGGTCTAGGTTTGACTTCTCAATTGTAACAACAACAACAATAATAATAATAATAAGTTGGAAGGGACCTTGGAGGTCATCTAATCCAACTCCCTGCTCAGGCAGGAAATCTTATACCATTTCAGGCAAATGGCTGTCCAGTCTCTTCTTAAAAACGTCCAGTGTTGGAGCATTCACCGCTTCTGGAGGCAGGTTGTTCCACTGGCTAATTGTTCCTCACTGTCAGGAAGTTTCTCCTTAGTTCTAGGTTGCTTCTCTTCTTGATGAGTTTCCATCCGTTGCTTCTTGTCCTGCCTTCAGGCGCTTTGGAGAATAGCTTGACTCCCTCTTCTTTGGGGCAGCCCCTGAGATACTGGAAGGGTGCTATCCTGTCCCCCCTGGTCCTTCTCTTCATTAAATTGGACATCCCCAATTCCAGCAACCCTTCCTTGTATGTTTTAGCCTCCAATCCCCTGATCATCTTTGTTGCTCTTCTCTGCACTCTTTCCAGAGTCTCAACATCTTTTTTACATTGTGGTGACCAAAACTGGATGCAGTATTCCAAGTGTGTGTGGGGGGGAGGGAAAGCCCCTCTTCTCCCAATCTTTAGCTCATCTCTGTAAGACCGGACCCTCATATTAAGGGAGGCCCTTCCTTAAAGCTTGCCTCGTGAACCCATCAAGGCACCCCCCCCCCCTAGAAATTAAATCAGTGCATGGAAGTGATGCGGAACTATTTTTATTTATTTTTTTACTCTGGAGGGGGTGGGGAAAAAGGTATTTTATTTGTTCACAAAATGAATAGACTGCCTCAATCTCTGGACAGGCTAAACCACGTTCCAAGAACGAGCACCTTTGTTGGTGATTGTGGGGTGGGGGGGAACCCAAAGTGAATAACCAAGAAGATCTTTGGCTAATGAAGGTTGACCTTAATCACCGTCCTTTTATTCCATCCTGCGATAAGAGGACCAATATTACAGGCTTGGGTTTGGTGGCAGGATTTCAAGATAATTTGAGATGGAGTGGGCTGAATAAGACGAGCCGGGGGCTAAATGTATTGTTATTTTACGGCGTTAGTATGAACACCAAATTTACGCAGTCTGAAACCCTTGTGTAAAGAAGGAGAGGGGATTGATGCAGTGTCCTTAAGAGACACCCAGAGTCCCGGCCGAGTGACTTTTAAGAACCAAGCTCTGTGGAAGACAAAGAACAGAAACAGTAGGGGAGGGTGGGGGGGGGACCCACATGAAGTATTACCAGCCTGTCTTCTTTTTAAAGATCCTTTTAACCAATTAATTTCCTCTGCACCACCACCACCCCTCCCAGCTGTTTCTCATCTCCCCAGGAAGAAACCAGCTGATGTTATCGTCCCCCGCAAAGAAAATTGTTTTTGCCCGTTATCAGTCAAATTGATAACTAAAAAAAACGAGGAGGGGTTGTAATCGCCCCACACTTCTCTCTGCAGGGATCTGGGGTGGGGGTGAGGGGCTTTTCCTAAACAGAAAATAAAAGAACCTGGAGAAAAGCCAAATTTGGAGCTTATAATAGGCTCCCAGTGAGGTCTTTTTAATTATTTGTTTTGTTTTGTTTTAGGGAACCTCCGGCATTTGCTGACGTGGATTAAAGAGAACCTGCTGAAGGAGAGGCCCGAATTATTTGTGCAAGGAGACTCCGTGTGAGTATCCCCCCCCCCCCACACACACCCGAGCACGGAGACGCACAGCTTTCTGCAAACTGCGGCCAAGAGGCCCTGTCTTTCTAGGAAATCCTCTTGCGAGGCCAAAGTGGCGAGGAAGCGCTGCTAAATCAGGGCTGTTGACTCGCCTTTTCAAAGCTAAAAACCCGGCCAGTGCCTGCTGTAGGATCGGGCTGGATCGATTCTGTAGCTTCTTTACCATACGCTCGGCTGTTCCTAGCCAACTGCTCTCCGATTTTAGGAGCTTAACCCTCCGCGTTCAGTTCTAAGCAGAGAAGGAAAACCATTCTATGTCCCTGGGCTGGGCTCCTCTTCCTAATCCTCCGCGCCACACTGCCCCTGTCCGCGGGACAGCGTCGCTCCCGTAGCTGATGGCTTCGGTGGTGTCTTCACGCCAGAGGCCGGCGCCGTCTGCCTCCTACAATTAGCATCCTTTAAGGGTTGCCTTACACAGCCTTTGTGGAAATCCTCCTCTTTTCCCTCCCTCTCTCCCTAAATTTCCTTTCCGCAATGAAGCCAGGATGTCGTGCTTAGCATTCGTCCCCTCCATTCGGTGTGGGAGGGTGGGGAACGGAGCGCCAGGTGTTTCCCTCCCCCCCCCCCAATCCCTGGGGAAAACAATTGCTAGGAAGCCGAAGATAGAGAGGAGATTCCTCTCAACCCACGATGCTGCTGGCAGACCCTTCCCGGAGGCTCTGGGGCTGCCTGCCTGCCTGCCTTTCACCACGTTGGCTTCCCCCCCCCCCCGCACTCAGTCCGCAAGGCAGATTTAAATTACAAGCATGATCAGGATTGTATCAAGCCGCTGATGACGTTTCTGCCTTGGAGCATTTTAGGGAGAGTATCTCTCTATTAGTCGCAGCCTATCCTGATGCTAAGCGGAGTTGCTTGGCCTCCAGGCTGTCTGCCGCCCAGCCTTCGGGCGGTAGCCACCACGGACCTTCAAAATGAGACCATCCCCAAAACCTTTAGGTGGGAGAATCCAAAACCTTCGGGGGGGGGGAGGGGAAAAGAAGAAACTTTAGTCCTTATGGATGTGAACTGGAGTTGTTGCAAACGGGTTGGAAGTGGTTAGCACAGCCTGTACGAAGCTAAGCGGGCTGGAGTAAATTTGTAGTTTAACCGTTGAAGGCGATTCAAACCAGGAAGGGCGATAGGTCCCAAAGAAGGGAGTTCTAAAACATGAATTTAGTACACTTATGGAAAAATAGATCTCGGCTGAACTGTGGGAGAAGTTTTTCGAAAGCGGAAATAAATTGGCGACGAAACCGTTGAGGGAAGAAACGGGTTTGAGGGCGCTCCCCGCAAAAGTCCTACAGCTTGCATGTTCCTGGACCCCAAATCTGGTCTCTTAACAGCTTCTCTCTTTTCCTGTAGGCGCCCAGGAATTCTGGTGCTTATTAATGATGCAGATTGGGAGCTGATGGTATGTCCCGTTTCGGATATTCGGAGGGTGTCTTTATTTTCTGGGGTGGCCCTTCCCTGTCTTATTGGATGCCCACTGGGGTGCCCAGCCCTCTTGGCCACTTTGGGGCATTTCCCCTGGATTGTGGAGGAGCAAAAGGGACTTTCCAGAGCATCCCTGTCAGGGATCAGGACCATAGGTTAAGTAGTAGTTCAGAAAGATGTATTGTTTAAGCTGATACACAAGAACCTGGTCAACTTATCGGTCAGCACTAGATAAGAGTCAACAGAAAGAGTTAACTGGGTAAGATGGGCAGCCAGTAAATTTTGCAAATAAGTAAATACGGAATTCCGTGGCGGCTGGACATGGATCCCTTGTGGCTGCGCAAGGATGCCAAACTGCTGACATATTTAACTCCGCCTTCCAGCTCTCTCTGCTCCTCTCCTATGTTAACCCTCCTTTGCTTCCTTCCTTCCTTCCTTCAGGGCAACTTGGACTACCAACTGCAAGACCGGGATCACGTGGTTTTCATCTCCACCTTACACGGTGGCTAGGCCGCCGGGGTGCGCGTAGGTGTGTGTGTGTGTGTGTCCTAAAACGGCAACCGCAAAACTAAACAGCCTTTGAGGGGACAGAGATTCCCTCTTTTCTCCGGGTTGAGCCAACGTCTTCAGATTTGGGGAGCGTTCGGACCTGCCTTCCTTCTGCAGGGTTGGATCCCAAGCTGGGGATTGGAAAAGTGTGATTCTGGAGCACTTTCTCTTCGTTTGTGGGTCAGGAGAACCCCACCCCACCCCCCAGCCGTTTGTTGACGAGGGAACCAAGAGGGTTGCAGCTGAGCCCTGTTGCGATTTGCAGTGCCTGTTTGTTATCAGGTTAGCAGCCAGAAGAGACAATCCCAGGGGGTGGGGGGGCTTCTCTGCCTCGGATCCAGCCTTCCAGGCCTTAGGACCCACAGCCTGCCTTTGCTTGCCTCCATTTGATCTGCAGAGCCCCCCCTCCCCCCCCGACCAGCATTTCGGTAGCTGAACTGAAAAGTCCTCTCTCTGTGCAGCCAACCTGCAAAGGCTTGCTTTACATTTAGGACGCGGTGTTTATGCCCGTGCAAAGGATGCGCAAAAGTCTGGAACGGTCCAGGGTCTCCTGCCTGTGCAGGGGGGCTGGACTAGAAGACCTCCGAGGTCCCTGCCAGCTTTTAACTCTGATTCCCCGGCTTGCCTTCTTTGTACGTGTATTTTAAATAAATATGGTGCAGAACTTCTCTTTGCTAATATGTCACCTGCTAACCGTGGTTTGTGTGTCCTTTCATCGGGGATGCTAAGGGTCCCACTCTGTTGCCAGCTGCTGTAGCAACGAATAAAAAGGCTACCCCTGCTTGTGTGTTCTCTGCAGATCATTTTTGTGTCTTAATGGTTTCCTCAAGTGTGGCTAGGTCTGCCTAGAAGCAAAATGGCGGACCTGCGTGGATTGTCTCTTTGAAGAAGAGCCTAGCCATTAAAATCTTCTGAATTTCCCAAACAGAAGGGTTGAGGTCTAGTACGTCTGAAGGGCACCAATTTGGAGAAAGGCCATCGAATGTTCAGGGCGTTCGTTTATACGACCGAAAACATCCCTCCAACCTGCTTTCATTTCTCAAAAGGCTGCTACGGAACTGAACATTCTTGCACAAGGCAGCAGTTATCCCGGGAGGACTGAAAACTCAACGCATTTTGCAAATGTGAGATACAGAATGGTACTTCTCTCTCTGCGTGCGTGGTTAAGTTCCGATTTTATTAGATTTTTTTTTATTAAAAAAAAAAATCAAGATACATCCACGATAGAGACAGCCCGAAAGCGAGCCGACCAGAGGCAGAAAGGAGAAACAAATACAAATGGCTCAGAGGCCGCAAACCTTATTTTCTGCAAGCCATCTTTCTCAAAACTGCTAATTATAGTCTTAGATGGGATGGTGCACCTCTTGGGGTGATTCTTTGCTCTTGTTTTTTCGTCCAAGACCTGTTGGGAGGAGGTCCAGCTTCTGCTTCTGGGTGGCGCAAGGAATTCAAAACGCCTGAAAAATGGTTTCCTGTCAAGAACCCATTGATTAAAGAGAGGTGCTGAGAGATTTGAACCCAGCCCTTCAGAAGTTAGCTATTAACTGGTGATTTTTTGTGAGCAGGATCCAAATCTGAGGACCTTAGAAGAGGACTTAAGAACTAGCCACATTTAACTCTTCTGTTTTTCCCCAAGGCTGCCAACACTGTCGTTTCAAAACCTAAATCCCAAAGGCAAAATTGACTTTGTGTTTAGTAGATCTGCAAAAAAAACCACTCTGTTCAAAATCTGGATGTGTAAAATATACATGTTTCTCAGTATAAAACAGTGGTTCTCAACCTTTTTAATGCCATGACCCCCAACCGATCGTAAGTCGAGGACTACTCAACCGGTCGTAAGTCGAGGACGACTCAACTGGTGCAGCACCGTTTGCAGAATGGGACTTTTGGCAGGCTCAGCAGGGCAGAGACAGCCTGGACAATTCCTGTTGGCTTTTGAAAGGCAATAGAATTACACTCTGTTCAAGAGAGTCTATTCTATTGGCTTTCAAAAGCCAATAGAATAAAAGGGAGTAGAACAGCTAAGGAAAAGGGGGGGAAAAATGGCGGACTGCGTTGTTTGGCGACCCTCGTGAAATGGTCGTTCGACCCCAAATGGGGTCCCGACCCACAGGTTGAGAACCGCTGGTATAAAAGCTGAAGGAAACTCCCAGGATGATTAAAAGGACTGTCAATCCTTTTTTTTTAAAACAATCATATGAATCAGCAATTTAATGTATCCGGTTTAATCAGCCTAGTAAAATCTGCAGAGCCGAACATTTTATTTAGCAGAGCCGTAAAAGTTTAGGGGAATCGTCCGAGCACCGTTAAAAACCTGGGAAAGTTAGACCTGACAATCCTGCAAGAGACGGGGATCCGGCGAAGATAGACGTCTTGGGATCCATTCTGAAGAATTCCTAACATGTTTTATGAACTGGTCTAATTCAGGAACCTTTGTAAATAAAATACGTTAGTGTGGAAAGATGTCGCCAGATTCTTTCTGATGCTTAAAGAAGGGGAACCTTCCAGGGCTGAAATTTAGGCCCATGTTTTAAGAGAATTGCTTGGGGTAAAGAGAAATCCCAAAGCTGCTTTTTAAGGACTTTCTTCTTCTTGGAGCTAAAGAAGCTTCTGGGATGAGAAGCGAAACGTCTTCAAAGAATAACAAGAAAGTCCAGTTGAAAAAGCATCTTTGGGACAAACCTGACCTGGATGTTTTGTAAGGAGAACACTGGAATGTTTAAAATACTTTGGCCCCCAAGAAAAAAGTTAGCAGAGCTGTTTAAAAGACTCTGAATTCCAGGGAATAAGAGCAAGGGAGCAAAATGACTGAACAATCTTCTGAAATCTCATTTTCTAGCACATTTTACTAACAATGGCAAAAAATAAAATAAAAAAATGCCTGTTTTAAAATGTCTTCTTATCTCTTCTGGGCTGTCAACCATGGTTGGTTTTTCTCTCTTCTGCCTGTCTTCAAACAGGCTGGTTTTTTCTCTCTTAATATTAAACACACAAAGCAGCAAATGGGGTGAACCACCAGCAGTTTTAAAACAAGTTGCTCCCCATCAAAAAAAAGAAAAAAAAGGGTGGAACTCAGCTAACTCTGGCTTGTGAAGCCCGTTAAAAATGAACTGATATTTCTGTATCCACAAGTTGGCTAAAATACCCATTCCGGGAAAGTGTGATGGGCAGGAGAACAGAATTAAAAACGAAAATGAGAAGAAAATCTTTTTTTTTTTTTTAAATAATCCTCCCTGAATACAAGCTTTAAAAAAAATCGCATCTTTCTCATTCAGGTGTCTCCAAAGCTACAAGAACAATTAAACAACAGTTTAATACAAAATACATTTAATAAAATCAATTTTCAATAAGATTACTTGGGAAATATTGTCTGGGAAATGGAAAGGGGGGGGGAATTGCAGGAAGTTGAACTTGGAAAAGGGGTGGGGTGTGAATAGCCACGCCCTCTTCCCCAACAGGAAGTAATAGCTGGAGTGGGACCCACTACTAGTGAGTTACAACTTAGCACATTTTGTGTTTCTGTGTATCTTATTTGGTGCTTTGTTTTTGCAAACAAACCACTTTGGTTTTTGTTAAAATAGGGCTGGAAAAGAAACAAAACAGTTTTATCTAATCCATAGCAATATTGTTGCCACTGGCACCCAAATAATCTTTATTAACTTTTAAAGTTATTTAAACTTGGATGCAAGCTAAAAACTGTGTCAATTCTCGATTTTTGTTTCTTAACCCAGCAAGAAACAAAATTCCTCCAGTCTTAGCATGGGCCTGAACCAGGCCTGTGTATTAAGCCATAAATTGACATTAAAGATGGACAGGCATCTGGACTTTTTTAACAGAAGGAAATTGCTTTAAAAACGCTCTGAGTCCTTGATAAATGGAGATGTAGCTCTATACAAAGACTACGTGTGTGACTCATGTTTCAAGTTTCTATTTTCTGGAACCGGAAGCCCTGCTTTTCAACATTAAAATTCTCTCTAAAATTAAAATCACGAAAGTTTGCCCATTCCTGGCACCGTTGACTAGTCAGTGGTTAGTTAATTTGTATTTCGAAGCAAAATCAGCGCAAATGGCACGTGGTTTTCCAACTGCATTTTCCCTGTTATAGTAACTAGTTTTTGTCTTTCACAAAAAATAAAAAAATATCCAGTTCCAGAAATCCATTCAAACCAGGCCTGTTTTCTTTCCAAATAATTTCTGGTCAGTTTTGAATTTAGCTGGTTAATATTACTAAAAAAAATGCAGGGTGAATTAGTTGTTTATCCACTGCAATATTTAAGTTGCTTCTTCCCTCTGGCTCTTCAGTGTTACGTACAGTAGTTAGAAATTCCCTTGTTAAATCAATTTACTTTCACGTTTCTTGCCATTTTTCCACTTCAATCTTTTATTTTTCCAAGGTGTGTTCAATTCATCCTTCCTTCACTTCTCTCTCTGATCATGTCTTATAACTCCTTGGGGGGGGGGGAATCGCAATGTCGTCACATAGGGTCCATGAAGGCTTAAAGTAATGTCAAGATTTCAATCTTGAGTTAAGTCTTGGGGCCACAAAAGGTATTTAAAAGGGGTCCATGGTGGAGAAAAGATTGAGGGCCACTGTCTTACATTTACTCTGCTAAGACAAGTTTGTATGGAGAAGTATTTTTTTTTGTCCCTGTAACACGATTTGTTAATTTCTGAATCCTTTGAAATTGCTTCTTAGTTACACAAAAGGAAGGAAATAATTCTTTTGCTGCAAGTGGGCATGTTTTGAAGAAGAATGTTATCTTGAGATAGCAATTTACTGAATAGTTGTGCTAACATGGTGGTTTTATATTTTATATAAAATTGCATACATACATACATATATACATACTGTGTATATATACTGTGTATATATATATATTGTTGTTGTTAATTGCGAAGTCGTGTCCGACCCATCACGACCCCATGGACAACGTTCCTCCAGGTCTTCCTGTCCTCTACCATCTTCTGGAGTCCATTTAAGTTCACACCTACTGCTTCAGTGACTCCATCCAGCCATCTCATTCTCTGTCGTCCCATTCTTCTATTGCATATTCTTCTATACTATTACAGTACATATATATATATATACTTCTGTTTTATATTAAAACTTTTAATGTTTTAACTTTTCCTGGTGATCATATTTTATTCTCACCATATATATACACTGTATATATACACATACATACATAATATACACACACACATATATACACACATACATACATACACATACACTATATCCCCAAATTTCACTGAATCCTGATCCTCAGACTGAACTGTTCTAAAATACACACGCACACACTGTATCCCCAAATTTCACTGAATCCTAATCCTCAGACTGAACTGTTCCATTTAGAGTTTTGTCTGCAATCCTGAGATACGAGATAACTAGACAAGTTTATATAGCATTTAAATTGCAAAGAAAGAGAAATCATATTAACAGATCCCAATAAAATCTCCCCTGCATGTAGAAAGGTAGTATAGCTAGGAACAGTATGTTGTTTGACTTAATGCCAGTTAAACAAACAAACAATAAACTCCTTGTCAAGTCAAGCCAGCGGTCAAAGACCAGAGCAAATTAAAAACACTCAAGGAATATCCAGTTAATTTTTTTTTAGAATAAGATGATAAATAGCAAATAAAATCTACGTTAAAATCGTAACTTGGCACCCAGTCTGTCCAGTTGCACAGAAACAGAACACAACACGGTCTAAACTATAATATAATATCTGGGAGTCAGTTAGATACTAAAACTCAGCCCAGTGATAATGCCAAAATATTTGCTGCGTTAATTGTATAAAATCACTATGATGGATTAAGCACCATTGTTGTGTTTCACCTCTTTGTCAATTGTAGATGGGGTTTGGAAAGAAAGTAAAACATCACAAAGGAATAAATGAACGATCACCAGAAACAAAAACCTTGTATTTCCACAAAAAATACATTTTAAAAAAAATCATCAAACGGACCGGTCACATATCTGCATTTAAAGCAGCATACGGTTGCTCTGACTCAGATGTATTTTACTTAAATAAATGAATAACCTCTCTACAGCCATTTTTTTTTCCCCCAGTCTGAAATACCCTTCCGATCGGTTGGACTTCATCTCCCATTGCTCCCTAGTCCCTGCTGGCAGGGGATCATGGGAGTTGAAGTCTCGATTAAGCAAGCTTTCCCTGCAAAGAAGCAAACGAGGTTTTTTATTATTTTTGTCTTTAAGCCAAGAACAAGCAGCAATTTTTGTTTTTTTTGTTTTTAAAAAGCCAGAATGCTAATATAAGGCAATAGAGACTTGAGATCTTTGCACAGCCGTTGTGCGATATAGCTCTGGCGGCCTCAAACTGGGTGTGCAAGACTACACAACAGGTGATTGGCACAGAGCAGGGAATCTGGTCCTTACTATAATAACGAGATGGCAATCGCCATGTTTTCAAATACCTTTGCCAAATGCATCCGTGGTTCTACTTGAGGCCCCCCTAGTACTGCACAAACCTTGCTGTGTTTTCCGAGACCCGATTTGCACGCAAGGCCCACACAAACACACACACACACACACACACACCCTTTTATTTCTCCTAGCGGACCCACAAATTGTGAGTCTCTTTCTGATGTTGGGCGTAGAAGCTAGAATGCAATGGGGGGGGCTCAACCAGGTGAGCTAACAGCCTTTCCCAGCAGAGAGCTAGGTTTCCCACCCCCTAGCTAGATTTCTCTCTTCGGGGAGCATGGAAGACATCCCAACCCAACCCAACCGGACGGTCCACGTTGCTCCCTGTTTTGGAGTAAAAAGAGAAGAATTTTGCTGGGCTGGAATATTCACCTGTTTTTTTTTTCCTTAGCCTGGAAGGGACCATTTTACAGATGGGTAGACTGAGGGGTTGGTGGTTTTTTTTTGTTTTTGCCCTAGGGCAGTTGGAAGATAATAAAATAAGTCCTGAGAAGGATGCTTAGGATTTTAAGACGTCCAGAAATAACCTGTCCTTTTTCTCTCTTTCTTACTGGGTTGGATACGGGAGCGGTTTTGCTTTTCATTTAGTTCTGTTTTTTTCCCCCCCCCCCAACCCTGGTTTCTGGCTGTTCATAGCTCATAGAACTTTGCTTTTTAAAAAATTTTTGCTATTGATTTTATTTCTTTGCTTGGAGATTTAGGCGCCTGGGGATTAACTCCTTAGCGGAGTTGAGAAATTCAACTCTCAAAGAGAGCAGGCAGGATGGTGTTTCCAAAGCTTGTCCTGTCCATTAAAAAATGGCAGGGTGTATTTCATTCAGCCCAACAATCAGGGGACTGCTCCAGAGTAGACCCCCCAGTTAAGAATTAGCTTTTTCTTGGAGGGGGGGGAAAGATGCACAAACGGGCCATTTTTTCCTCCTTTCTGCAGCTGGAAAAATGAGAGGAATAGGAAGGCAGCCTTGTGCAATTTTAAAAACCAGACTTTTTTCTTCTTCTTACGGTATCTTCTTCTCTGCCCCCCCCCCCAGCCAGTTCCCTGGCTCAGCTTAGCTTCCTTTCCCCAGATACACACACACACACACACACACACACACACACACATCCTGAAGGAGGGTTTCACACCCCAATGGACCAACGATCAGACAAGCCCCCCTTGCTATTGTTAAGATGGGCATCTAACGTGTGTGTTTGTGGGTAGGGTGGGTGTTTGCATGCATGGGGAGCCACAATACAGGCTGCTTTTTAAAAAAGAGAAAAAAAATCCATGCCCGTTAAACTATAAACGATCCGGAGAATGTGGAGGAGAAAAAAAAAACCCTTTCTTTCTTTCTTTCTTTCTTTCTTTCTTTCTTTCTTTCTTTCTTTCTTTCTTTCTTTCTCTTTTTCTTTCTTTCTTTCTTTCTTTCTTTCTTTCTTTCTTTCTTTCTTTCTTCTTTTCTTTCTTTCAGAATTGGAGGAGGGGGGGTTTCAAAGGGGGAGGGGAGATCCAGAAAAAAAAAAGTGGTTTTGGAAATAAGGAAATTCTGCAAACCGGGTGGCGGTGGCGGAGGAGAAGCGAAAGAATCTTTTTTTTCCCTCCCTCCCTCCCTCCTGTCCTCTGTCGCCTTTGATAGAGTATTTAAACCCACGTGGGGGCTGCAAATCTCCTTCCCGTTTTTTTTTTTCTTCCATCACTGATATTATATCATTGGAGAGAAAAAAAGAGATAAAGAAGCAGGCAAACCACCCTGTCATCTCTGCCTTACCTGAAATTGAGCAGCATCACCTTTGGCTCCTAGTAAAATCCCATTTCTCTCTCTCTCTCTCTCTCTCTCTCTCTCTCTCTCTCTCTCTCACACACACTCACACACACACACACACACACACACACACACACACACACACTCACTCTCACTCTCTCACTTCTTTGCAGTCTTAACCCCCTGCTTGCCAATGAAAAACACTCGGAAAGGATTACAGAGTTAAAATAAAGGAATTTTCTCCTCTTATAATGAAGAAAGAAAGGGGGGGACATGAAAGAGGAGGACTGAATATATATATATTCCTCCCTCCCTCCCTCCCTCCCTCCCTCCCTCCCTCCCTTCCTTGATAGAGATCTATCTATCCATCTATCTATCTATCTATCTATCTATCTATCTATCTATCTATCTATCTATCTATCTATCTCCACTTTCCTTATTTTTCTCTCCTTCTAACCTGAATCTTAAAAACAAAATATCTGATGCACATCTAATCTGGGCATTTTGCAAAACTATTCCAGGCAATGGGAAGCTCAGATGGTTACGTTTCCAATCGATTCTTGCAAAGGAATTTCTATCAAAAGACATGTCTCCCTTTCTTTAGAAAGAATTCCGTCCCAAATACCACAATTTAACCCAGTGGCTTCACACGACAAACCGACAACAACAACAAAAATGAAGCCTCTAAAAAAAAAAAGTGTTCCGTTTGGGGGGAAAAAAACCCTTGCAGGTTAAAAGTGGGAATGACACCAGCACCAATTAATAGGATGTAAAATGCACCAATAAGACAGTTTAGAAATAGTCAATGTAACCTTTGGACAGCTTTCATTTTAATGCCACGAAGCAAAATAACTTGCAATAAATCACAATAGCGATTTGACCCATGCAAAGGTTTGGGTGCTTTTAAAGAAAAAAAAAAAGGAGAATTTGCTGAGGTTTTTTTTTTTCTTTATCTTTTTAGGGTTAAAGCAGAAATCTCATTTTTTTTTAAAGACATTTTTCTACCAGACAAGACACAGAGATGAACACCTAGCCAAAAAAGTAAGTAAACAAGATGGGAATTACCTGGCTATCCGCTGTGGATGGAGGATGGAGGAAATCCGTTTTCCGAATATGTAGGCAACCCGGATGATTTTGAAGGCTTAGCTACCGATGTCCAGACACAATTCTTGGTTTGCATGTTTTTCTGGACAAGAATTGCGTTTGGACAATCAGGAGCGAAGGTTCCAGCTTTGGGCTTGACGAGGCTTTACCAAAAAAAAAAAAAAGGAGATATAGAATTTTTTTTAAAAAATAAATAAATTAAAAAGCTCTTTAAAAAAAATTAAATTAAAAAGCTCTTTGCTCAGGTGCCTCTTCAAATTATTCAGCAGCAACTTCTCCTGCCTTTTATTTCTCCGATTTCACCCCCCCACACACACACTTTAATTTCCCCAATGCCTAAAAAAAAAAAAAAATAGGGAAAGAAGATTCTTTTTAAAAAAATGAATTGAATGAATCAAAATGCTCAAGTAAGCCCACATTTTTAAAAATTTGGCCCTCGCTGCACACACATTTTTTTTTCTTCTTCCAAACTGCTGGAGACGGGAAAAGAAGCATCATCGGTATGTGTTTTAATTTCCAGTTAAGAGGCTACCTTAAAAAAAAACGAAAAGCCCTTTGCGTTCGTTAAGGGGGGGATGGGGGCAAAAAGGCTTCGCCATCCCTGTATTTGGGGGGGCAGACCGATGGCCCTGCTTCCAACAAGGATTTGCCACTTTTTCTTTGGAGAAAAATATATACATACATATATAAATAAAAAAATAGAAACCAAGTCAGCTTTCCAGGAGGCGATGGGATTCTGGGAGGGGGGGAATCCCCTTCCTTTCTTAATTATTCCAACTCCCCACTGCCAAAAAAAAAAAAAAAGCAGGTACTGGAAGAGAAGATATGACTTTTTTTTAAAAGGAATCCCTCTGCTTTTAGGAAAGATGGACCTATCTACAAAGGTGAACTGAGAATTTTTTTGTCCATTTCCTGGATTGCTTTTCTCCAAATTTGCGCTCTCTGGAGAGGAGAGAAGTTCTTCCTTCCTTCCTGTCTTCCTTCCTTCCTTGCTTCCTTAGTTCATACCCAGGATATTTTCCTTCTCCTTCCCTACTCTTCCCCTTCCTTCCTTTTCCTTCCCTTCTCTTCCCCTTCCTTTTCTTTCTCTTCTCCTTCCTTCCTTCCTTCCTTCCTTCCTTCCTTCCTTCCTTCCTTCCTTCCTTTTCTTTCCCTTCCCCTTCCTTCCTTCCTTCCTTCCTTCCTTCCTTCCTTCCTTCCTTCCTTCCCTAGTTCATACCCAGGATATTTTCCTTTCCCTTCTCTTCCCCTTCCTTCCTTCCTTCCTTCCTTCCTTCCTTCCTTTTCCTTCCTTCCTTCCTTCCTTCCTTCCTTCCTTCCTTCCTTCCTTCCTTCCTTCCTTCCTTCCTTCCTTCCTTTCCTTCCTTTCCTTTCCTTCCTTCCTTCCTTCCTTCCTTCCTTCCTTCCTTCCTTCCTTTCCTTTCTTCCTTTCCTTTCTTCCTTCCTTTATTTCCTTCCTCCCTAAAACAATCCAACCTGAAAACTTTTCTTTCCCCTACCTACAGCACCATCAAATCCACTTGCTCGTTTGCCTGTCCCCCCCAGCACCTCTTAGGAGAAGATCCCAAACACATTCGCAAAGGCCTTTCCACCCATCCTTTCCTGATCAGGAATTTTTTCAAACACCTCCTCCTCTCCCCGCCCCCCCATCCTCTGCCAGTCTTCTCTTCTCATTTTTCCCCAAAAAAATAAAATGAAAGCCTTTTGGGTGACTTAAGGCTTTCCTTCTCTTCCCCCCCCCCCCAACCCTATTACAGGAAAATTGAAATTAAAAAAAAAAATACCTATGAAAAGGCAGCTTAAATCCAAAGATCAGTAAATCAGAAACCCCGTTTGGTTCTGTTTCAAGAAGTGGTTTCGAGGGGTCTTTTTGGATGCTCCCTTATATAAGGCGCAGGGTGGCCAGAAACTGGGAGCTGTGTGTATAGGACTGTCTCTGTGTGTGTGTGTATGCATGCACGCACGCTTACACACCGCGTACACACCGCCGACACAGCTCTTCCCAGTCCCCACCTGCATGCCCAGGCACGTGAATTTCCCCTTTCCGCTTGGGAAAGTCGGATTATCCAGAGGAAACCACGAGGAAAAAGGACGCAGGCGGAAAAAAGCCGAAGAAGGAAAAAAAATAATAATCCCAAATTAAGGGGCCAAGCTTTAAACCTCCTCCACCACTACCCCCCAACCCAGCCCTAGAGAGGAGAGGGGAAATACCAAACCTGCAGGCAAGCTAGCTGGCAAAGCCGGCTGCCCCCCCCCCCCAAAAAAAACAGGGAGGGAGCCTTTGAAGGGGAACCCCCCCCATTTAACGCCCCTCCCAGCCTTGAATTCCCTGGCCAGCTGGAGGGCTTGTAAAGGAAGGCTAAAGCGTTGAAGGAAATAATAGTAGTAGTAATAATAATAATAATAATAATAATAATAATAATATGATGGTGGTGGTGGTGGTGGTGGTGGTGGTGGTGGTGGTGGTATCCATGCCGTTGCTCCTGAACGATGGACGAGGTTCTCCCCCCTCCCTCTGCCTTGCCCCATCGATTGGGGGGGTTCTCCCCATCAGCCCAGCTGCTCTGCAAGTACACCTGGGGTCCTAGCCTTCCAAGCCAAGAATTTGGGGGGAATACCTGTCCTGCGGTAGCCCCCAGATCCTGGAGGTGAAAGGAAGAAGGAAAGAGAGGGGGGGGGGAAAGAGAGATTGAAGGGGAGAGAGAGAGAGAGACACCCCCCCCCAACCACGCGGCTGAAGAGGTGATGGTAAAAGATGCTTTTCCCGTTCTTCTGAATCTTCTCTCTCTCTCTCCATCCTTCCTCCACCGCCGTCTGGGTCTCTCCGCTTTGCTCCTGGGTTCTCCCTTCCCTTCCACGCTGCTGAGTCCCTGGCGCTTGGGGTGGTCCCCTCACTGCTCCTGGGGTCTTTCCCTGTTGGCTTTCCAGCTTTCCGTCTTCTGCTCCGGGCTTTCCAAGACTAACCAGCATCCTTGCTGTATCTCATTCGCTGTCGGGGATGCAGGGATGGGCGCCCACAGAAGCCGTTAACATCCTCGTCGTCTTTCCTTTCCATTCCTTTCCGTTCCGTTCCCTCCCTCCCTCCCTCCCTCCCTTCCTTCCTTCCTTCCTTCCTTCCTTCCTTCCTTCCTTCCTTCCCATCTACAAAGGCGAACTGAGTTTTTTATGTTTCCTGGATTGCTTTTCTCTAAATTTGCTCTCTATGGAAAGTGGGGAAGCTCCTTCCTTCCTTCCTTCCTTCCTTCCTTCCTTCCTTCCTTCCTTCCTTCCTTCCTTCCTTCTTTCCTTCCTTCCTCCTTTTCCTTTCCTCCTTTCCTCCTTTCCCATTTCTACCTTCTTTCCTCCCTTTCCTCCCTTTCATCTCCTTCCTTCCTTCCTTCCTTCCTTCCTTCCTTCCTTCCTTCCGTTCCTCCCTTCCTTCCTTCTTTCCCCCTCACTGTCTCTCTCGCTCTTTCTCCTGGGCCTAAAGCCTCTGTCTCTCTCTCTCTCTCTTTCTCTTTTTTTTTCCCCCTTTCTCTCTGCTGCTCTCTTCCCTAGCTCTCCGCTGGGCACTGCACAGCACACACTCCCAAAGCGCCAGCAGACTGAAGGCTGCCTCTGTCCAGGGCCAGGCTTTTTAGTGGAGCCCGGCAACAATACGTGTGTTGCAGAGGATGGCGAAGGAGAGAATCGAGATGAGCTTCAATTGGTACTGGATTTGAATAACACCACAGGGTGATAAATGTCTATTGTGTTTTCAGAGGGCCATGAATCTCCAGACTCCTTTCACAAGGCGCGGGCACAGCAGCTGCAGGCTGGGGTGTCTCTTAAAGACACAGGCCACCCCCACCCCCCTCCCAGTCTGGCCTGGCCTGCAGAGAAGCTAGGCTGGACCACGCGGCCGGGCAGAGATGGAGCCAAGAAGCGCGCGTTGTGTGTCCATCGGATTTTAGGAATGGCTGGAGAAGTTTCTTTTCAGAGAAGGCTGGGCTCTGGAAATGCAGTCCCTAGTTTTGGGGGTACAAACACAGACACACCGTTAACGGGTTCAGAGAAAACCAACATTTATTTTGTCTTTTGCCCATCACCGCTTCCCCTTTGCCCAGTTTTTGCTTCTTACCCTGAGCGTGTTAGCAACCGGCTGACTTTTCAACACAACCTCATCGGTCGGTCGTACTCCACGGATGGCCTTAGCTCTTGGGTTTTGGCCCAGCTGCCCTGTGCAAGGGCTGATTGGACCTCTGCTAGGTTAATACAGCAGTTGGGGGTTTCTAACCACGGTTTACGGGCGTTGCAAGATTGGTGAGCGGTTCAATCCAAGCTGACTGCCTTCCTTCAGGGTATAAACTTGGACTGAAGGGGAGGCAGCCATGACACTTAAACTGTCCGTTTCTGGTTAAGCCTGCCTGTGTTGCTGAACGCACGCTTGTGGTGATGTCGGTTTATTATTACAAACCTCTTTTCAATAGTGGGTTTGCCCAGGGATGCGTGCCCGAGCATGCAACCAGGTTAAGTCCCCCTTAACAGAAGTATGCAGGCCTCCCCGTGTTTTAAACCCAGGTCAGGAATTACAAGAAGCCATTGTTATCGCCTCACTCCAGAAGCTGCACAAACACACCAGCCAAACAACAGCTTATAGCATTAACAGGGAGTCTTCAACTTACGACAGTTCACTTAGTTACAGTTCAAAGTTACAGTTCAAAGTTACAACGGGACTGGGAAAAAAGTAACTTATGACCACTTTTCACACTTACGACCTTTCCAGCATCCCCACAATCACACGATCCAAATTCAGACTGACTCATATTTATGACGGGTTGCCGTGTCCCAGGGGGGTGTCACGTGTTCCCTTTTTGCGACCTTCCAACGAGCAAAGTCAACGGGGGGGGAGCCAGATTCGCTTAACAACCGGGTTACTGACTTATCAACTGCAGCGATTCACTTAACAACCGAGGTCGTGAAATGGGACAACATTCACTTGACAAAGGTCACAACAGAAATTTGGGGCTGAGTTACGGCCGCTAAGTGAAGGACTGCCTGTATTTTATATTTATCTTTATATTATGGTGTGCGGTCACAAACGGATGCTGCTATGTCACAAACCACACAAAGTGATTAGATCTGAGCAGGCAAAGGGGCGAAACAGATTACAGCTGGAATCATGTTTAGTTGTAGGTTTGGGGGTGTGTTTTTTTAATACAAAGGTGGCTTGGTCAAACCCTTTTTAAGTTGTGAAAAGGACAACTTTTCCTCCTGGGCTGGGTTTTGCTGATTAGTGTACATTCAAAGTGACCGTAAAGTTATTATTCTTTTCTTTTCCTTTTTAAAAGTATTTTATTAGTTTTTTTATCATTACAATTCATTTGTGCTTAATGAACAATGTGTTGTCTGGGTTAATTTTTGCTTAGTCATAAAAGTTAAGAATAGAATAGAATAGAATAGAATAGAATAGAATAGAATAGAATAGAATAGAATAGAATAGAATAGAATTAGAAAATAAAATAGAATTAGAATAGAATAGAACAGAATAGAAAATGGAATAGAAAATAATAATAGAATAGAATAGAACAGAATAGAATTAGAATGAATAGAATTAGAATTAGAATAGAATAGAATAGAATAGAAAGAATAGAATAGAATAGAATAGAATAGAATAGAATAGAATAGAATATAAGAGAGATAGAGATAGAGAATAGAATAGAACAGACTATGGAATGGAATATAGAACAGAATAGAATAGAACAGAATAATAGAATAGAATAGAATAGAATAGAATAGAATAGAATAGAATAGAATAGAGCTGGAAGGGACCTTGGAGGTCTTCTAGTCCAGCCCCCTGCTCAAGCAGGAGAACCTATACCATCTCAGACTGGTGAATGTCCAGTCTCCTCTTACAAATCTCCAGTGATGGAGCGCCCACGATTTCAGGTGGCAAGCTGTTCCACTGGTTGATTGTGCTTACTCTGTAATCTCACTTTTCCAACCATTATTATTCTATTATTTTATTTATTTTTTTATTTTTAAAGGAAAGACTCGCAAAGGCGCCCATCTGGGACTGATCCGATCAGCTGTCCTTCCTATATTTCTGGTGAGTAAAGCAGTAATTGTAGGTCCCTTCGAAGAAACGGTCCAAGAATGAAATCTTCCCCTCTTGGGACTTCTGTTGGCTGACCACTAGCTGAGTGGCTTCTCTGGTGGCACTCGGTACGTTCTCTGAGGCTATTTATTCTCGAAAGCCACTTTCTTTTCTTTTTCTCATCTTTCTGCTTTCTTTCTTTCTTTCTTTCTTTCTTTCTCTCTTTTCTTTCTCTTTCTCTCTTTTGCTTTCTCTCCTTTCTTTCACTTTCTCTCTCTTTCTCTCTTTTTCTTTTTCCTTTATTTCTCTTTTTCTTTTTCTTTCTCTTTCCTTTTCTTTTTCTCATCTTTCTGCTTTCTTTCTCTCTTCTCTCTTTCTCTGTCTTTCTCTTTCTCTCTTTTGCTTTCTCTCCTTTCTTTCACTTTCTCTCTTTTCCTCTTCCTACCTTCCATTTCTTTCTTTCTTTCTTTCTCTCTTTTCTTTCTCTTTCTCTTTTGCTTTCTCTCCTTTCTTTCACCTTCTCTTTCTTTCTCTCTTTTCCTTTTTCCTTTTTCTTTCTCTCTTTCCTTTCTTTTCTTTTTCTCATCTTTCTGCTTTCTTTCTTTCTCTTTTCTTTCTCTCTCTTTCTCTCTTTTGCTTTCTCTCCTTTCTTTCACTTTCTCTCTCTTTCTCTCTTTTCCTTTTTCCGTTTTTCTTTTTTTCTCTTTCTCTTTCCTTTCTTTTCTTTTTCTCATCTTTCTGCTTTCTTTCTCTCTTTGTTTCTCTCTTCTCTCTTTCTCTGTCTTTCTCTTTCTCTCTTTTGCTTTCTCTCCTTTCTTTCACTTTCTCTCTCTCTTTTCCTCTTCCTTTCTTCCTTCCATTTCTTTCTTTCTTTCTTTCTTTCTTTCTTTCTTTCTTTCTTTCTTTCTTTCTCCTCTGTAATCTTTTTCTGCTCCACTTGTAAGAAAGAAAATATCTTGGTTAGTCTTCTCTTGTCGCTTGGCAACCCCTGATGGGTGGAGGGAACCCCTCAAAAAGAAAAAAAAGGAAAGGAAGGAAAGAAGAGGGGGGGAAAAAGGAACAAAATGTAACTGATCCAGAGACAAAGACAAAGTTTGAGGGGCTGTATAAACTTCCCACCCCCGCAGTAAGAAAGCATTCTTCAGATGCTCCTCGTGTCTTTTGCCCTAACCCCCTCCCCTGCTTTCTTGCACCAATAAATATGGATTAGTAAAGTACTTTTTTTCCCACACCGCTCAAAGGATGGGCTTGATCTCTGCACTTGCCTTAAGTAGCATCCTGACAAGCTGGAAGCTGCAAAATCAACAGGGTGAGGTTGCATTTTGCAACCTTTGGGGAGGGAAAGACAAATAATTTTGGCCAGCCTCGGAGAAGGAGGGCAGGACCCCCACCTTGTTCTAATCCAGATCAGGGTACAGCCTGTGTCTGGATCTGTAGGTGGGTCAAACAGAAGCCCAGCGAGGAAATCCTTGACGGAAGTGAACGTAGACAGGGGTGCAAAGGGGACGAAGGATGCTATTGGCATGGAGACTGAAGCTGAGTCACTCTTTGGAAAAAAGGAAGAAAAAAAAAGCATCCAGGGAAAAGTAGGAATGTTGCATTCACCACGATGTAAAAAAGAGGTTGAGACTCTAGAAAGAGTGCAGAGAAGAGCAACAAAGATGATCAGGGGACTGGAGGCTAAAACATAACAGGAACGTTTGCTGGAATTGGGTATGTCTAGTTTAATGAAGAGAAGGACGAGGGGGGACAGGATAGCAGTCTTCCAGTATCTGAGGGGCTGCCCCAAAGAAGAGGGAGTCAAGCTATTCTCCAAAGCGCTGAAAGGCAGGACAAGAAGCAACGGATGGAAACTGATCAAGGAGAGAAGCAACCTAGAACTAAGGAGAAACTTCCTGACAGTGAGAACAATTAACCAGTGGAACAACCTGCCTCCAGGAGCTGTGAATGCTTCAACACTGGAAGTCTTTAAGAAGAGACTGGACAGCCATTTGTCCGAAATGGTATAGGGTTTCCGGCCTGAGCAGGGGGTTGGACTGGATGACCTCCAAGGTCTCTTCCAACTTTATTATTATTATTATTAGTAGTAATAGTAGTAACATGGTTCAGTGGATCTGACTCCCACACTGGGGTTTATTCAGCAAACCATGTTTCAACCAACCTTGGCCAAGCGTGCCTGGCTGAAGAATTCTGGGAGTTGAAGTCCACAAGTCATCAAAGGGCCATGTTGGAAGACCCCTGTTGTAATTCAACCATAAACGATGCTACTGAATTCAGTATTTAGACCAGAAAGCAAGATTAAAATTTGGAGCCTGACTTTTTAACATTTGATTTCTAAAAAAAAAAACAAAAGGATTTCTAAAAGATATTTTTAAAAAACTTTTGCATTGCATAAACATGTTTTTTTTCCCCTGTCTCTGGCTCTATTCCATTGCCAAACTGAACCACATTCATTGTTTTAGCCTGTCTTTAAAAATTGTACTCCCTTTTTAAAGATGATTGATCTTTTTTTTAAAAAAAAAAAGTTTTGGGCAAAAAGAGTTTAGCAACTCGTCTTTCTACATTTTCTTTTTTGGCGTGGTCTAAACAACCAAACAATAACCAAATATTGTTATTCAGCAGCATCTTAATTTTGGCCTGAATTGGCTAAAACATTGATTTTTCTCTGCCACGGATTTCGTTTCGGAGGAGAATTAGAACAGAAAGATCAAACTCTTCTAAATATCCCCAGATGGCGAATGCTGATTCTTTGAGCTAAATAAATAACGTAACATTTGCCCGGTTAAATTTTTTTTCCACCCTCTTTCTTTCCTGTCACTTTTCCTCATAAATACAAAGAGAAAGGGAAGGGGAAAAAAAAGCCTTCTGAAGTTATTTACAATATTTTTTCCCTTCCCTTTCTAATAAAAACAGAACAAAGCGAACCGCCTGCTTTAAAAGCAGAGCAGAAGTGAAATAAAATCTGAAATAAAGGCTGAAATTGCAACACCTCAGAATGCCGGACATTCTATAAGTTGGACTTTTCTTTAGATTTGACTCCTTATCCAGGCTCTTTTCCAACGTTTGCCTATTTATTTATGCTTTTTTTCCCCTCTCCTGGGGGAGAGAAATCAGGGCAGAAACAAAAGAGTTTAAATCCAGCAAATTTCGGATTTAAAACCTCACGAAACCACGAACTTTGCTTCTCACGTTTAAAGGGGTTCGAGAAATCAAAGAACAACGTAAAAATTGCAGGAAGGCAATTTTTCAAGTTGGGGGGGGGCACCTGTTCATTTGTTTGATGCGTCACCCTAGCCATGGAGGAACTCCTGTTCTTCGGAAGCTAGAGATACAAGCTAAAAAGACGCAACACAAGAGGAAGAAGCCATGTGGAGGGTAGAGGAAAACAAGGCACCTAAGGTTTAATGGATCCAGGGAAGAAATATTCTTAGGGTCTGCCCCAACAGGGAGCAATTCCTGCAAAGGGATCTGATCCGCGTTCTGTGGCCCACGTCGACACTGCATCCTGTGAATCAAAAGTGTTTGTGTGGATTTGTGTCCTTGTTGTTGCTCTCTACCCATCCGGGAGGAAAGACCGGCCACGTTTCGCTGGCGTGTGTCTGGTGGTGCACGGAACGGACATCTCCGAGGCTAAACCCAAGAATTAAGGCTTTTCACAAAGGCCTTTTGACCAGGGTTTGCAAATGAATGAGGCATGCTCTTCCCTGGATGGGGGGGGGGACACACACACACCCTGGCCCTACAGAGAATAGGGCTTTTTCTCCCCCCCCCATAATTTTGAGGGAGAAGTTGCTCCCCTTTTCAACCGTTCGGTATCAAAAGAACCTCTTTCCATTCCAGAACTTCAAAAAACTTTTCCTTCACCAAAAGTTCATATTTCTCTGCCCCCCACACACACACTTTGTAAAGTGATATTAACCCTTCACGTGATCTTGATTCTATCCCTCTGTTCATGCAGCCCATTACTGTGTTGGCCTTTTTGGCTGCGGCCGCACACTTCAATGGCTCACATTGAAGTGATTGTCTACTACGACTCCAAGGTCCCTCTCACAGTTACTTGTATTAAGCCAAGTTTCACCTAGCCTGTACCCATGCAGCTGGTTTTTCTTGCTTAAGTGTAAAATCTTACTTTTCTCAACGCTGAATTTCATTTTGTTAGATCCATCCTCTTTCTCCTGTTAGAATTGATGGATTGGCGCAGGGGATAAGTTGAGCTAGCTTCCAATTGAATCAAAACTCAAGATCCTCACTACTGCATACGTGGGATACCATCCTGTTTATCATCTGGTGAACTTTTACATTACCACCATATCTTATCTCAAAGTCAGTTTCCATTTTCAAACTAGGAAGAAACTTGCTCATCCACCCAGCAGCTGTTCTTCTCCACGGTCCTAGGCTTACTTATTTATTTATAGTTCTGTCCCCGGCTATTCAGCAGGACCTCCTTGGAAGTAAATATGTTTAAATCTAACCTTTACCCTCAATGACAGACATCCTGCTTATGGCTTATTTAAATGAGTCCAGAGAGCCGAATAGAAAACTGGGCGTGAAAGAGACACAATCCCGCAGTGCAGAAACTAGATGAGTCGTGTAGTGATCCAGGAACACACACAGCCCCATTTGTGAAGCTTTTAGAATTTATAGTATTTCTGCCTGAATATGATCCAAAACATGAGCTGAGGGGCTGCCCCAAAGAAGAGGGAGTCAAGCTAGTCTCCAAAGCACCCGAAGGCAGGACAAGAAGCAACGGGTGGAAACTCATCAAGGAGAGAAGCAACCTGGAACTAAGGAGAAACTTCCTGACAGTGAGGACAATTAACCCCTGGAACCGCTTGCCACCAGAAGTTGTGGGTGCTCCACCCCTGGAGGCTTCCAAGAAGAGATTGGACAGCCGTTGGTCTGGAATGGGATAGGGTCAGCTGATTCAGCAGGGGGCTGGACTAGAAGACCTCCAAGATCCCTTCCAACTTGTTACCCCTGTGACTGTAGAGAAGGAAATTGGCTTTATTTGG